TTCCTGCAATCACGAAAGCTTTAAGTCACCATTTAAACGACAAAAATTTTAGTTTTTAGTTCATGATGGAACAAAATTGTCGGTTTTCGCGTTCCCACGTGGAGATGGAGCGATGCAATCGGCTGGCCCGGTGGCTCCCAAGTTGGATTGTTGCAATCGTGATCTGTGTTTTGATTTAGTGGGCTGATCTTTAAAGGTGCATTGAAAAATGTTGATACTCCGACTGATGCTCCTGCTGTTGTGGAGTGACTCATGCAGCCAGCTGTGGCTGCAGGGTTTGGTAGTACATGTTGTTTACGTCGTTTATTGTGAAAATTCGGTCACAGTTCCTATGACCTGCACTGTTTCATTGCTTTTATGGCTTTATTTTGGTGATTTTCGAAAAGTTTTTTGGTTTGGCCATGTTTGTTTGTTGTAGTACAGAGTTAGACTGATGGCCTTAATCTAAGTTGTCTTGTGGTTGTTTGACTTGCATCCCACTGGGATATTTGCACAGGGTTGGTGTACGGTGATTTTTATGCAATATTTTTCTGTCTTTTCTTGGATTTTCTGTTTGCACATAGTCACTTTAAGATGTTTTCTTGTTCATGTGTTTTTGTTTGTTGCGGTTGCACCCGATTCAAGAGCCGAATGGCTCACAGGGCTACACCTAATAAATGAACTTTGTGTGAAGAGTTGGCGACGGCGTGGAGGATATCGACCAGCAGTGGATCGATCACGGCCGAGCACTTGAAGAGGGGCAGGGTTCTCAGTGAAGAGATTCGTCGAAATGAAACGCACGTGGGAATCGTGGATCGCCGTACGTTTGCAAAGTTACACAACCTGGTCTTTAAGGAAGTAAATGTGCCACGTAATAACGCAAAGAACGCCGAACTTACAGTTACGGAATACAAATACACACACAGCGGTGGATGTTGACAGTGTTGTTTATTGTCATTATTTACGAAACGTTGACCTTGCTGGCACGGCGTGCGAAGTTGCGTAATCATCACAGCCATCTTGCACAGGGGAACTCCGGACAACACTGTATCAGTTTAACACGCAGGGGGCTTTCGCGAACACATATCTGTAATAAAGTTAGATCGCCTACATATAAATGTGTCGTCAAACCTGCCACCACCACCCTGACACGGCCAATTCGTAACCTCCACGATGTACACTGTACAAGCTCGCACGGCGACCAACTCACATCCCCCCCATCCAACATGGCGCTCTCCCTAACCAAGATGGCCGCAGATACTTTACATGTTAATAGTCGGTCGAGATGTCCGATAAGATTTTCACACAAAAGAACAGAAGCCTTTACCAGAGGACGTCGAATGGCTTTCACGACGATATCCGCATCCACGTATAGCGTTGCTAATTTCACCTTGCCATACTAAAGCGTGCGCACGCACACAAGCACTTCCCCGACCAAGATGTCCGTCTTCTTTGGGTCTTTCGGTAGGCACGTAGATAGAAAAATAAAATTATAAAAATAAAGTGATACTTTTATTATTCATTAATCACTTAATTTTCATTATTTCATTGTAATTTTTTCTATCGAAATGACTTTACCGAAAGACCCAAAGAATATTAATTCCTGCAATCGCGAAAGCTTTAAGTCAAGATTTAAGATGTCCGCAATTTTTCGCGCGGTGATGACATTGTGGAGGAGACTCTGCCGTGGGCTACCCCACCCCCCCCTTCCCCCCCCTTTCACCCCCCCCTTCACCCCGCCCCCGTTCCACCCCCCCTACCCCACCCCCCCCCTTTCACCCCGCCCTCCCGCTTTACCCCGCCCACCCACTCTACCCCGCTTACCACCCCACCCCTCTACCCCCTCCGCCCCTCCCACTCTACCCCGCTCACCACCCCGCCCCCTACCCCCCCACCCCTCTACCCCCTCCGCCCCCACCCCTCTACCCCCTCCGCCCCTCCCACTCTACCCCGCTCACCACCCCACCCCCTACCCCCCACCCCTCTACCCCCCACCCCTTTACCCCCTCCGCCCCTCCCACTCTACCCCGCTCACCACCCCGCCCCCCTACCCCCCCCACCCCTCTACCCCCCCACCTCTCTACCCCCCACCCCTTTACCCCTCCGCCCCTCCACTCTACCCCGCTCACCACCCCAACCCTACCCCCCCACCCCTCTACCCCCTCCGCCCCTCCCACTCTACCCAGCTCACCACCCCGCCCCCTACCCCCCCACCCCTCTACCCCCTCCGCCCCCACCCCTTTACCCCCTCCGCCCCTCCCACTCTACCCCGCTCACCACCCCACCCCCTACCCCCCCCACCCCTCTACCCCCCCACCTCTCTACCCCCCACCCCTTTACCCCTCCGCCCCTCCCACTCTACCCCGCTCACCACCCCCACCCCCTACCCCCCACCCCTCTACCCCCCACCCCTTTACCCCCTCCGCCCCTCCCACTCTACCCGCTCACCACCCCCGCCCCCTACCCCCCCACCCCTCTACCCCCCCACCTCTCTACCCCCCACCCCTTTAACCCCTCCGCCCCTCCCACTCTACCCCGCTCACCACCCCACCCCCTACCCCCCCACCCCTCTACCCCCTCCGCCCCTCCCACTCTACCCAGCTCACCACCCCGCCCCCTACCCCCCCACCCCTCTACCCCCTCCGCCCCCACCCCTTTACCCCCTCCGCCCCTCCCACTCTACCCCGCTCACACACCCCACCCCTACCCACCCCCACCCCTCTACCCCCCCACCTCTCTACCCCCCCACCCCTTTACCCTCCGCCCCTCCCACTCTACCCCCGCTCACCACCCCACCCCCTACCCCCCCACCCCTCTACCCCCTCCGCCCCCACCCCTTTACCCCCTCCGCCCTCTCCCACTCTACCCCGCTCACCACCCCACCCCCCTCCGCCCCCACCCCTCTACCCCCTCCGCCCCCACCCCTTTACCCCCTCCGCCCCCTCCCACTCTAAACCCCGCTCAACCACCCCACCCCCTCCGCCCCCCACCCCTCTAACCCCCTCCGCCCCTCCCACTCTACCCCCCTCACCACCCCGCCCCCTACCCCCCACCCCTCTACCCCCCCCACCTCTCTACCCCCCACCCCTTTACCCCTCCGCCCCTCCCACTCTACCCCCCGCTCACCACCCCACCCCCTACCCCCCCACCCCTCTACCCTCTCCGCCCCTCCCACTCTACCCCGCTCACCACACCCGCCCCCCTAGCCCCCACCACCCCTCTACCCCCTCCGCCCCCCCACCCCTTTACCCCCTCCGCCCCTCCCACTCTACCCCGCTCACCACCCCACCCCCTACCCCCCCCACCCCTCTACCCCCCCACCTCTCTACCCCCCACCCCTTTACCCCCTCCGCCCCTCCCACTCTACCCCGCTCACCACCCCACCCCCTACCCCCCCTACCCCTCTACCCCCTCCGCCCCTCCCACTCTACCCCGCTCACCACCCCCGCCCCCTACCCCCCCACCCCTCTACCCCCCTCCGCCCCCACCCCTTTACCCCCTCCGCCCCTCCCACTCTACCCCCGCTCACCACCCCACCCCCTACCCCCCCCACCCCTCTACCCCCCCACCTCTCTACCCCCCCACCCCTTTACCCCTCCGCCCCTCACCACTCTACCCCGCTCACCACCCCACCCCCATACCCCCCCACCCTCTACCCCCTCCGCCCCCACCCCTTACCCCCTCCGCCCCTCCCACTCTACCCCGCTCACCACCCCACCCCCTCCCGCCCCACCCCTCTACCCCCTCCGCCCCCACCCCTTTACCCCCTCCGCCCCTCCCACTCTACCCCGCTCACCACCCCCACCCCCTCCGCCCCCACCCCTCTACCCCCTCCGCCCCCTCCCACTCTACCCCGCTCACCACCCCACCCCTACCCCCCCACCCCTCTACCCTCTCCGCCCCTCCCACTCTACCCCGCTCACCACCCCGCCCCCTACCCCCCCACCCCTCTACCCCCCTCCGCCCCCACCCCTTTACCCCCTCCGCCCCTCCCACTCTACCCCGCTCACCACCCCACCCCCTACCCCCCCCCACCCCTCTACCCCCCCCACCTCTCTACCCCCCACCCCTTTACCCCTCCGCCCCTCCCACTCTACCCCGCTCACCACCCCACCCCCTACCCCCCCCACCCCTCTACCCCCTCCGCCCCCACCCCTTTACCCCCTCCGCCCCTCCCACTCTACCCCGCTCACCACCCCACCCCCTCCGCCCCCACCCCTCTACCCCCTCCGCCCCCACCCCTTTACCCCCTCCGCCCCTCCCACTCTACCCCGCTCACCACCCCACCCCCTCCCGCCCCCACCCCTCTACACCCTCCGCCCCTCCCACTCTACCCCGCTCACCACCCCACCCCCTACCCCCCCACCCCTCTACCCCCTCCGCCCCCACCCCTTTACCCCCCTCCGCCCCTCCCACTCTACCCCGCTCACCACCCCACCCCCTCCGCCCCCACCCCTCTACCCCCTCCGCCCCCACCCCTTTACCCCCTCCGCCCCTCCCACTCTACCCCGCTCACCACCCCACCCCCTCCGCCCCCACCCCTTTACCCCCTCCGCCCCTCCCACTCTACCCCACTCACCACCCCACCCCCTACCCCCCCCCACCCCTCTACCCCCCCCACCTCTCTACCCCCCACCCCTTTACCCCTCCGCCCCTCCCACTCTACCCCGCTCACCACCCCACCCCCTACCCCCCCCACCCCTCTACCCCCTCCGCCCCCACCCCTTTACCCCCTCCGCCCCTCCCACTCTACCCCGCTCACCACCCCACCCCCTCCGCCCCCACCCCTCTACCCCCTCCGCCCCTCCCACTCTACCCCCGCTCACCCCCTACCCCCCCACCCCTCTACCCCCTCCGCCCCCACCCCTTTACCCCCTCCGCCCCTCCCACTCTACCCCGCTCACCACCCCGCCCCCTACCCCCCCACCCCTCTACCCCCTCCGCCCCCACCCCTTTACCCCCTCCGCCCCACCCACTCTACCCCGCCCACCACCCCGCCCCCTACCCCGCCCACCCACTAGACCCCGCCCATCCTCCCCACCGTAATGGCGGCGCGCGTGTTCGGCGTGGCCGCTTCGCGCCTGCTGCTGCTGCCGCCTCTGCGAGGAGGCGCCCGGGTCCCCGCGCTCCTCCCGCAGGCGGCCTCCCGCCTCGCCAACGCGCCCAGCTCGCTCGCGGCGGGCGCCGTGCAGACGCGGGGGCTCCGACAAGGTGCGCAGAGCCCGAGCGTCGTGCGAGAGGCCGCCACTATTTCCGCTGCACGGTAGACCAAAGCAAGACTTTCTCAGTCGGCCTAGGTCCGTGATCAACACTGTGCATTGTACCGGAGTTAAAGTTCAACGTACTACTACCGGTACAAATCAATTCCGACCATTAGGAGGATATAGATGCGAATTAACCGATTGTCCGGGTCGAACCCGTACCCGTAACCACCCAAGGGAAAGGCTGTGGGAGCAGATCATTGAAGGTCAGGTGCCACTGCTTACTGGATCTGACAGAAGGGAAGAAGTGATGGGGAGGTGTGCTGGCATGAACAGCATTGCTCGTGATGACCTCTGTAACTGAAATGTATGTGCCTCCATAGCCAATTCATTACGGGGTAAAATGCACGGCTACCCCCAGGCTACGCATAGAATTTTCAGTCACCCCTCCTGATGAAGTACTGTAGACAAATTTAATTGTTTCTCCATCTAAGACTCACCTGTGCATGCCTCAACTGACACAGGCATTAAGTGGTGACCTTGGAGAATGAATACACGTGCTTTATTTTACATTTCAACCCCGGAAATGTAATGCATGCCACAATTCCTGTGTACCTAGATAAAATAGTACATTTGAAAAATGTTTTTATTATTACATGATGCTCCTAGAACAATATTGCGTTCTACTTTTTTTTTTAAATGGCATTCCCTCCCAGTCGGTTTTAAACGGAAAATTCTATTTCATTTCTGGGGCAGCGATTGTAAACATGCCTAATTTTAAACTGTGTATTGGTGATATAGCAAGTTCTGTTTTAAAATGTATACTGGTTTGTGTTTCATATTTCAATCATGTATACCGATGTTTGGCCTTTTATCACGTGTTATATTGCTTTAAATACCAAGGTCTGCTTTGGAAAAATATACTTTTAATCTCAACAGGCTCTCACCTGCGTTTAAATAAAGTTTACCCATCTGCCTAATATGCCATAGTCTCTTAAGAGTATTCGTGACCTCATGATAACCAGATCCTAAACGTGACATTCTCGAGCTGACACCCATTTGACCAGGCTGAAATATTTTGAGTGACAGAGCCTCGGTGGACAGCCTGAGGTTTTATAACTGCAGCAGATTGAGCAAACCCATATCGCAGTGAAGCGTGTTGCTTAATTGTTGTTTTGCATTGCTTTGTGCAGTTACTGAACACAAGGAAGGAAACACAACAACGGTAAACGTTTGAGTCACTTGCATCGACGAACAAATGTTGGCTCATTCAACACACACACCCAGCGTTTCACACGTTCGGAGTTAATGTGGGAGGTCAAATTGCTGACTACTGGGTTCACAGTTCATTGGTGAAAGCAAATTGTCATGCCCAATAAAATCTCCATCGCATTGCTAACTGTTATGGAAGGCAATTTTCGTGGGATGGCATACAGTACCAAATAGCACAACTGGAATTTTGAGAAAAAAACTAATAATTGTACGCAGAAATCTATGCTAAAAGGCAAGTTACGATGAAATGGTTGTTGAAGCATGTCAGCTTTTTCCCCCCAGTTGGAAGGGAAAATTGTGGAACAGCAAGCAGGCAACGAGCCGCCCAATCCTGCAGGCAGCTGCCCCATCTGCCGTTGGAACGTCAAGCACAAGTATGATTACACGGTAAGCATAGGCCACAGGTACACGCGTTTGTGAAACCAAGTCGCCAGGAATGATAAAATAGTATGCTTACCATTACACCACAGCAGCATCCCATATGGATAATACACATGCGACTCATTGTTAGAAGATGCACATACTATATATGGTATAGATCTTGTCGAAAACACAACTTGAGCTTGCCTCATGTACCGAAAAGTGAAAAATGTAGTCTGGACTAATGAACGACATACAACCGAGATAGAGATAAAAAAATCACTCTCGCAGGCATTTAAATAAAAAAACATTTGACTTGAAAGAGCACCATTGGGTGCGTGTTAATGGACACGCGTGTCCTTCATGGCATACAGGATGTGCTGCTCCTGAGTCAGTTCTTGCGTTCCGATGGAGGAATGCTGCCACGCCGCGTCACTGGCCTGTGCCTGGAGGAGCACCGCAAGGTGGCCGTCTGCGTTAAAATGGCGCACAGGGCCGGTGAGAATTGCGCACACCAGATGCACATTGGGCACGCACACAATGGGCACTTGGGACTTATGCAACGAACATGCACACAGGCCTGCTCCCAATATTGGGTGTTTCAAAAAAATGTTAACACTTCTGAGAATTTGCAACAATACCACAAGGGATGTGCCTCCAGGCTCTGAAGACCACATGGAGAAGATTCCAGGCGTGTGTTAACAATGATGGCGAACAAGTGGAGACTGACTTTTTGAAGCTATAAACATATTTGTAATCATGTTCGTGTGTTCGTTCTTTTTCCATTAAAAAACATAGTCCCATATAAGTGTTAACATTTTTTTGAAGCACCCTGTATATGCATGCGTAATCTGTCAGTTATATAAGCCCAACTGTGCATCTTGTGTTTCAACACAGGTCTCCTGCCAGATCACAGGCCAAGGCTTCCACCGGACCATGTTCCCAAGCCAAAACTGATCCTCAATACGTAAGTGCAGGCTAGGTTTTTTTTTGTTCAGCAGTACACATACCTGTCAACCCATACGGTTCGCCCATATTCTTGTACGGGAAATTTAGTTTTCAGGTCCATCTGAATAGGTTTCACCCTTTATGGCAATAAAACAGGTGTTAAGATATTCAAACACCAAACAGAAACCTTTTGCAAGGAATCATGTCTGCATTAACCACATACTTGTGAACATGCAAACAAAAACATGCTCTGGTAATATATGCATTGTCTACACCAGAGACATCCTTCTTTAGGGCCGAGTCTCAACCAGTGTAAGACCAGAGTGTTCTTATACTTTGATATTGGCAAGAAAGGTCCCATGTTTTAGCCGAATCAATACGGGCATATTTTTTTTTGTATATTTGTGTTTCTCCCTTATGATGGGACTTTGTAGGATGAACGCCGAGATGTAATAGGGCACGGGGTGACCAATAACGTCTGAATTGGTCTGGAATAAGGTGGGCACTGATAAGGGGTTGGTTGACAGGTATGAGTACATTACCTATGAAATGTCATGCTGTCGACTTTAGCACGCAACTCACAACTTGTTTTTTTTGTCACTTGGCAGCTACCTGACTCGCTGGGCCGTGGGCACAGCCAAGCCCATATGGAAAAGGGGGCACAAGGGATTCAAAAAGACCATGCCTGTGGGCGACCCCATTCTCAAGGACAACGTGCGTTATACGAAGGGCCCATTGTACATGGAACACTAGCAATTGCTACACCATATGCACTGCGTGTTGAAATTAGTGGGGGGCATCTTGATCAGAAAAAAACATTGTATAGACTGACATGACGAAGTTTCACATTTAAATGTAATAAAAAAACACATTTGTAATTTGTGTGCATTGTTTTTTTTTTAAGGGCCGGTGTATTGCTTATCCCTCAGGCATTCTGAATTTCTTCTGTACATTAAACATTTTATATTCATGGTGATTGACACTTGAACACCAATTAAACTAAGCTTGTTTATCCTTAAGACAGATCTGACAGATTAACCGCGTTTGCAAAAGAAAATTCTTTAGACACGTGCTGGTTTCATCACTGCTCCTCACTTGAGGAGTTAATAAAGGTCACTGTCCCAGTGCCCATGTAATGGTAAACTTAGGCAAGCCCCATTCTACGTAGGCAAATATCTTTAAACTAACACATTTTTTTAATCCAGGTTTTTTTTTTATCCAGGGCACCTATTCCCCCATTAGCCTGGATAATCGTGAGATGACTGAACTTTGAAAAAAAAACAAGACAAACAATTGAAAGACTGGATATTTAATAGTATGAAATATTCAAGTACAATTTTGACTCACTTTACAGAACAAATTGAATCTTATTACAATCCTGAATGTAATATCTATACACTTGAGGGATGTTTTGGAAAAAATAACCCACGATATAAAATTGTCCAGAAAAGAGGCTTTCAGTAGGCCGATTAAGTGGATGAAAACATTAATGGGGTTCATTGTGTGGTCATCTGTGGGGAGATGATAGAAATATCAAATGTAGCTTAAGTGTTCCCATTAGCTTACACACATTCCCTTAAACTGTGAATTATTCGTTTTTATCGAGTATATCCCTCCATTACATAAACCATATCCAAAACAAGGCTACTCATCACTTCCCTTTGTTGGCCTGGCCCCCTTGGCCTGACTTTCCCGATTTGCCTGGCTTGGCTGGTTTTGCCAGAAGAGCTTGGTCGATTTGTGCAGGGTCCACACCACGCACAGAGTAGAGCCGTGCTGCCCTCTCGTGCAGCGTGCCACCGCACTTCATGCCACGTGCCATGAGGACAGCCTTGAGACACTCCAACCCCAGTGCCTCCAGCTCTTCCACAGAGCTCAATGCCATCAAATCCACCTCCGCAGTGACCTGTAAGATGGAAAACCCATGGAGTGGTTAATATTATGCCCGTGTCACCTTGCTGCAAATGCGCTGTTGGAACTCTTTCGGAGCCCAGCACACAAATTGTAGCTTTGAAGACCTTGATCTGCAAAACTGAGGTGTGGACAGATGCACAGCACTGTAGTAGTCAACAAACTATATATCCTCACAAATTAACTCTCGGTTCACTCAAAATTAAAAAAACCCAGGTCGATTAGCTTCCTGGCCTTTAGGATCAATGTGTTCCAGCAAAATGTATTTAAAGGTAACTGGGCAGGTGTAAACTGATGTCAGCAGAACATGGTGTATCAATGTTCATTAATGACAATGCTATTCCTCTGCCTGTAGTACGTGCATAAGTATTTAACTTAAAGTTAGATAATAAAAAAATAGCACTCACCTCTGCGACTGCTGTGTTTGGTGGGGGAGTGGATTCGGTAGCAGCCACACTCTCTGCTGGACTCGGTGGCAGGGTGCTTCCAGAGGTGGTTGCACTGTCGACTGAGGTCTCTGGTTCTGGATTCTCGATGTTTACAGCCTTGCCCGGCTGAGGACTGACATCTCCTACCTCCCCTCCCTTTCTCTCCTCACTACTGACCCCACTGGTGCTCTCACTCTTGCCGCCTTTGTCACCCTCTCCCATCTCTATCGAGCTTGGAGTTGCAGCTTCCTGCTTCTCCCCTCCTGTAGAGGGGCTGGCTTCGCTACCAGAGGCGTCTTGGACGGATGTCCTGGCAGCTGTTGCGGTGTCGCATGGTGCTGCTTTTCTGCCGATCTGACCCTCGTCCCCGCTGCTGCTGCTGGCGGTGGTAGTGGTGGCGGAGCGGCGCGCCTCGACAGAGCTGCTGCTCCTGCTCGTTGTTGGCGGAGGGCTCGAGGAGGCGCTTGACCGACTGTCGCTGTCAGAGCCTGAGCTGCTGGTGTTTCCCAGTCCTTCCACTCCCAGCCTGGCCATCACCACGCACAGTGCAGATTATTAGGCGTGTACACAAATAACCGCAAGCGTGGCACAACTACAGGCCTTCAACCAGCAGTGGATTGATCAAGGCGGATGATGTAATGCATTGCGAACCAGAGGCACTTCTTTTTGCCGGAGCTCTTGGTGGCCTCAGATGAGGGCCTCTTTTTGCGGACCTCGCCAGGCCTCACTGCGCTGCTGCTGCCATCTGCATGCCTGCACAACCAATACATAAGACACTCAGCACCCATCATTGTCTACTCTTGAGAATGTTTCAGTGACAGTTGGTGGCATGATTCTGTGTAGCGCGTCTGCAGTGCGGCCACCTTTTATCACGGAGTCGTCCAGACGCTCGGCCATGTCGTGCAGCTGCTGCTCGTACACGGGGTCACTGTAGTGGTACTTGGGTTGGCTCAGGCGGCGCTCCAGCCGCTGGCGGCGTCGTTCAGCACGCTCCGCTTCGCGGTCTGTCTGCTGCTTTAGCCACTCCGCCATGCTGCCCAACGGCGAGGGGAGGATGCCCATGTTAACACGGACAGAGAGAGCCTCCGTTTAGACTTATGAACAATTGAGGAAATGTTTAAAAAAATCTGGTTACGGCCAATATGGGGGCAAGGAAGGTGGTGTGTTCAGCACCTTGCATGCCTGCTAACTGTCTCCCCTTGCTCATGTAGACACCACACTACGGCGAGGCTCATGCCACTGAGATTCAAATTGTTACTTGTGAGCTGAAGTGCTTGCTCAGGAATTGAACCCATGATACCAGAATAGCAGTGCTAGGACACCATCTCAGACATGTAATGTCACACGATGTTTTGCCATGGATCTAAGCTCAGTTACAAACTCACTCTTGGCAGCATTTATACACGTCCGTCAAGTTTTTCCACTTAATGCCAATCGTGTTATTTTTAGCAAAATATTTTACTATTTCACCTACTAGTATTGTATTCGTAGTTCAGCAAAGCAGCGCATTTATAAGATGACCACAGCCTACTTTTGAAAACTAAACTTAAATATAATGCAACATATCTTACATAAAATGAATACACAGTCCACTGGTAAGAGACAAAAGTCTGAAAGTTAAGGGCACTTATAGCAATAAGGAAGAGTTTTTCAACTGGTGGCTCACGGGCCAAATCTCTTGCAATGGCCCACCGAGTTATGGCCTACACAGAACTTAAGAGGTGCACATTGGTGAGATGAAAATATATATATAATAGGAGAAAGCAATCGACAAAGTATAAAGATTAGCAAGAAGTAAGCAAAATATCAGATAAAAAACCTGGAGACTTAAGTGCATTTTAGTGGTCACGTGTACAGATGCTATGACTTTGTGATGTCACGTGTGCACACGTGACATGATATTTGACCGTGCCAGTACACATTTTATTTACGTGGCCCATCCGAAAGTGCAGTCAGAGGCCTGCTACGAGGTACAGTATATGCCTTACGCCTTCTCGCTGTTGACGTCACGTAAACGGCGGCCGCTCAGGTCCCGGCAGGCCTCGCGGTTTGTCGTCTTCTCGATCTGAGCTCCCAGCGCACGCAGCATCGAGCCAAACCCTGCGAAGCGGAGACACAGCAACAGCGCTGAGTGGTCAGAAATGTCATAATTGTTCTTCGTGACTTTTAAACAATGTGGTAATGGTGTTGTTGGGGTTTATTAGTTAAACTTGGGGAAACACACAGTCAAGTTTTCCAGACGTCACGGGATCTTCAACATCCACTGTGAAGCTGACAGCATGAATGTTTATGGACAGGCACTGGACTCGAACTAACCTCTGCAACAAGCAGCAATAGCGTCTACGTCCATGGGCCCATTATGCGTGTTGAATGTTCGTGCAAGCCTTGCAGCAAACGCGCCCATGTTTTCTTCACCAAAAATGGCTCGCATAAATCCAGGTGATGATATTCATTAGATCTCTCAAGATGTGAATCTGGCATCACGTCTCTCTCTCTGCTGCTGATGCAGTGGCTGCACACTGCTCACACTCACCTCCCTTGCCGCCGAGCAGCTTGGCGTGCAGCCGGTAGCAGCTTCCTGGCACCACGACGTCCTCGTCCCTCGCCAGCCTCCCATTGCACAGAACGAATACATCATCGCTGGGCAAACCCTTCAACGCACAAAAAAGACAGACACCATCGGTGTTGCTTTAACAGACTGTTGAGGCAACTTGTGTGTGCAACCATCATTCCGAAATACCAATTAAGGCCGAGAGGGCGCACCATGCGGTAGTGTGGCCAGAGCTACGACATAGACGTTCAAATGAATGACTATACAGTACTCATTTAAGGCTAAACCGACATTGGGGAGGCCTAGTCGGTTCTGATATCACCGGCCACCAATAGTAACCGTGGCCAGGAATCTTAACTCGGTTTGCCGGGTTCATAAGGCAGTGCCCTAACCACGACGCTACCGTTCCACACCTCACAACCATCACACGAGGTCGACAAACATCCAGGTAGGTATCCTTTTTGTTTAATTTCGGCGACTCAGCTCCGTGCACCTCAGGAGTAGACGAGACTCGGCCCCGTTGGGAAGTAACAACACTGCTCGTCCAATGGGCACACAGTAATCCGCCACCGTAACGTGGAATTTCCACCACGAGCTCAGCGCGGCAAACGATTTGTGATCAACGCGGAGTATCGTCCCAGCTTTGGCTCCCGCCGCTGCGTGGCACCTTCCACTACATTTTACTCGGCCCGAAACGACCCAGAGCTTCTTCTCCACCGCTGGAGGACATAACATCTTCTTGGTTCTTTCGGTAAAGTCACGTAGAAGGGAAATAATAAAATACAAATAAAACATAATACAATACAATTCTCACGACGTCTCGGCCACAACGCAAGCAGCCGTCCTCAGGTGAAGAACAAGGCTGTCGGAAAGACAGCGTCCGACCTAACATGTTGAGTCTGCCTGACCAAACACTGCACTCTCACTTACAACAACAACAATAGTAACAGCAATGCTACTAATCATGACGCATGAGCAGCAGTAACCGCAGCCGTTTCTCCCTCAACTCAAAGCCAGGCCTGGGGCCTAACTCGAAGCCTGCGGCCTACATCTTGTCATACATACAATGAAACAAACGATTAATTACAACGTAACTACAAATGTGTCGGACTCACCTGGAAACCCGCGGCTTCCTCCCTAAGCGCCCCGACAGTAGAGCCATGCGAGAGAGACAGCGGGCGGCTTCTGCCATCGCATCCGTAAACCAGCAGTGACTCCATTGCCGTCTTCCGTCTTCACCAAGGCAAAGGAAATGACGTCACGACGTGAGGCCTGACGTCACGACGCGCGGCCGACGTCACGACGTAACGACGGACTGCGTCACCGCGTCGCAATATGACGACAAACGGCGAGTCCCGGGGTGGGTTCGCTGCCGATTCGCCGCTTGTTGCGCGGGTTTGCGGTTCGACTCCGACAGGCCGCCCCGGTTAATACTGCGGGTGTAATAACCGTAAAATACGACGTGCCAAGAATTAAAGTGACTTTATTTGGAATATACATAGCAATCATCGTTCCCCCCCTCTCCCCCTAATATAGGATACGACTCTCAGGCGTTTCTGGGTACACAATCATATAAATGTGTTTCATTGGGAAACACAGATCGCGGAACGTAATTCTAAACGAGTAGGCCATTATGCGTTGACGTAACATGGTGCAAATTTGAAAAAAAGTACTCCCTTGGGTATTAGAGCGGCCGTCGCAAGCTCTTATGAGACTACTGTAGACTGTGAAACAGAGCCACCTATATGATACCCTTGTGCTATAAGATTCGTGCGAATGTGTAATGACAGGGTGACACCTGTCGGCCGGGAGTGGTAATTACGGTCATAGCTGCATTATTATAAGGGGGGCAGATCTGGGGTAAAGGTGAAAGGCAGAGTCAGTCGAGAAGCTCCGGGAACCAGCTCGAAGGTTCTGGAAAGGAGGCATGGTCAGAGGTGGAGCTTGGCCACGCCGGGACAGATATAAGGGGGACCAAACCAGAGGTTCGGGGCTGTTATGGGTCCTGGCTGCGTCACTGCTCGTCGTCATCTGTCTCCGACCACGTGGCTGATGTTCTGAAAACTCTCTCCGGAGCCATCGCTGCGCTGGTCGAACAGCTTGCGAAGCCGGAGATGGGGCTACATGTTAGGATCGCCTATGTGTAGCTGCGTTACACAATGTATCGCCCAGTGTGCTCTTGATAAATCAGAAGCCTTCTGCTCGCCGTGTCTCAGAAGTCGCTCATTACATATGTACTAATTCATAGTTTGAGAAATTATTAAGTTTAGTTTTAAGCGTCGATGTGCAGGAATAACTTGCCAACACTAACGAGAATGGAATGAATTTTCTATCACATCACTAAGCGTTGGTATGCGTGGCTATGGATGCAAAAACAAGGTAATACGGATACCATCATTATCCACTTAAGATAATTCCATTTAAGTGTTATAAATTTTTCTTTTTAGAATCTGATCGTATATGGTCCGTGGAGAAATCCAGCTTCTTCACTTAGTTAACCGATTGCCCTAACAATCTCCATTGGTTCTCTGCCGTCTTCATAAATAATCTACATCTGTGCGATAGGCAAATGGGTATTTTTTCAAATCAGTTCTCCCTTTTGTCCCATATTATAATGGAGGCAGATACCATTCCATGACAACACTGAATTCATTTTACGTATAAACATTTACTCAACAGATCCATAATTTGGTTGAGCACGAGTTCAGATTTCTAGATGTCCAGTCACCCTATACTAAAACATACTTCTGTGGAGGCAAAGAAAGTTTATTACCCGTAATGCTACACAACTACAATTTTTTTTGTTACAGATTCTACGTGTTTAGCATTAACACCTGACATTACCTGCAAATTACTCATCTGGGATTACATTCAGCAACAAACTACCGTACTGCAGGCTGTAAACATAGCGCCTTCATGACAGCCTTGCGCCATAATGATGCAAGTGAAAACAATTCGCAGTGAAAAATATTTGATAAGTGCAAAACATCACATCTTTATTTTTGTGCTATGACTGCACACAATGAAATAATCACATCAACTTTTAATTCTTTATTTTTTGATCAAAAGGAAAATCTTCTGTATACCAACTTTGCTTTTTTATATATATTTTTTGGAAACACAATTAGTGTCACATGGTATGTCTGAACAGTAATAATGTATTTGCCATATCAAATACACGCCATTGTAATTCGTAAGCATTTCAAATGTATTTAAAATCACTAATGGAGGAAGCTGAAGCAGCAGCTAAGAACTGAAACATTAAATAGCTTGAAAAAAGCAACAGATTAAGGTGTCACTGTATCATTATTCGCAAAAAGTGTAACTATAGGAAGTGTTACAAAATCCTTAACCATTGCTCATAATGGAAAACCAACTTGAAAGTGTTAGAATGACATTAGCTAAAGATGTTAGGCTTTTGTGCTCAGTAAATGAGGCGCAAAATAATCTTTCAACGTTGGAAAACTGTCCAAGAAAACACCCAATATCTTGTCATCCTGATGGTGATTATGACAATTATTCTCAAAGTTCAGAGTAACCATGATGGTAAATACATAGTGCCACTTTAACAAAGAAACCAATGCGGCTGCATGGATGGGTCAACAGCCAAAGAGAATGCAAACATTGGTGATCATGTACAATATCTGATCAAAAATGTTCTACAACAGAAAACCGATGTGTACAATTCTTGCTTGCTTGCCGTAACTGCACACTTTGATCCCGTTGAAGACCCCGGCGAGATCACAAATACTGGTGCACGATTGGACGCACGACAAAACACGGCGCGCACGATTTGGCGCCGCGCGTGAGAGAGCCGGGGGAGGGGCTTTCAGCCTTGCGTACAGCCGTACTCGTCGTCGTCATCTCCGGAGCAGGGGTCGCTGTCCATGTTGCCGCTGCCTGCCGAGCCGTCCGTCTCTCCGTCCGAGTCCAGCTCCTCGTCCATGTCGTCTTGGCGGTTGTTCTCCTTCCCGTTGTGGAATCGCGAAAACAGCGACGCGCCACCGGCCTCCCAGGGGTAATCCTCTCCGTCCTCGTCCATGTTCTCATCGGAGCTCCTTCGCGGCAACGGGCTGCGAAAGCAGAATGGCAGCGTAAGGGGTCTAGCCATAAAAAATTGTAGTGTGAAAATGTATCGGTGTAGTCACGTAGAAGGGAAATAATAAAATAAAACATAATAAAATAATTCTCACGACGTTTTGGCCAGACGCTGTCTTTCCGACAGACCTGTTCTTCACCTGAGGACGGCTGCTTGCGTTGTGGTCGAAACATCGTGAGAATTATTTTATTATTTCCCTTCTACGTGACTTTACCGAAAGAACCAAGAAGATGAATCCCTGCAGTCACGAAAGCTTTAAATCGAAATGTATCGGTGTTTTTGTATGGGGGTGTGTGTGTGTGTTTAATTAAACAGTAAAAATGTTTGTACTCTTTGGTTGATAGCTTCACCACTCCCTCTTTGTCCTGTAGGGTGGCAGACTGCGCCATTCCCACCTGGAAGTCCTGCGATGGCACACATGAGGTTTTACCCAGCGTGCACTCACAAAATGGTCGAGATCACAAGGTCCTGAAATTGCTGGATGCATCACCTCATTTGACACACTACTCTAATGTGCATAGACATACCCACACGCATGTATACTCTCTTCAACAAACAGGTACAAGCAAGCTCTGGGCAAAAGTGGCTTATTAAGATTATTTTTGTCAAGTCCAAAAAAGTATCCTCCTTGCAAACATGAGAAAAATGTATACGCCAATGTGGTTTTATTCAAGGCAATTTGTATGCAGTGAATAAGTAAACAAAAAAGCTGCACAGTGAATCCCATTGAATTAGTAAGAATCATGAAAATTCCAGAAATCAATCGGTACATCACAGCACCCCTTTGCCTGCAAGCTGTTAAGAGATATAAAAAAGTATGTTTTGGAAAATGGTAACTTACTGAACATTGGTGAATGAAACCAAAGACTTTTTTTTTTAAGTTAACATTTCTCCGTTTACATTTCTCCGTTTATTTTTTATCTTTGTCTCCAATGTTATACAGATTATACTGTAGATTTAATTTAATCAGATTAAGTATCTATGATGTCTAACAGAGCAGCGCTTCATGTTACAGAACGGTGGATATCAAAAAATTGCTTCCGAGATCCCCGAATGTGACCTCTGTTCCACACAGCAAAGGGCAGCAGTTTTCCACCAGCTATGCCACGGAAAATAATGTTATATCATCGGCGATATTCAATTCAGTGCTGGAAAACCCAGTGGGGACAAAAGGGCAACACACTGCAAAAGAGTCCACTACAACAACAGGGCCATTATTAGTGCAGGAGCAGCCATGTGGATACCTGCGTCGAGCCACCAAGCAGCGTTCCCAGGCGCTCGTGGATCATTCCGATGAGCTGCAAGCCGTGCTGCATGTGCTGGGAGCGGAGCGCACGCACGGCCGACGCCAGGTCCGAGCCTTGCAGCACTGTCTCCTCTGTTTGCGTACGCACAGACACACACACATGCGCATGGATGAGGTCACATGTGTGCGTAGGTGAGCACATCGGTGCTTTGTAGCGCACTATTGTCTTGTCTGTGATCAATGACCAAATCGTCTGGAATGCACCCAATTCCGTAAAACTTTGGAAGCTAACCTGATAGTCCTTGGATGGGTGACCACCATGCATAGCAAGTTGTCGTAGGATCCTGTGGGGCTGCACTACGTGGTATCAGCAGAATGTGGTACCTCTGCACTCTGCTTACACCCCAATTATATTCTAAACGTGCTTGCGGCATCATGCCACGAGACAAATACATTTCCACGAATACATTTCCTGTCTGAGAAAATGATCTTGTCTGAGAAAATGACGGCCCTGGAAGGTGATGTCATAGAATAACGTCTGAAATGAACTTAATGGGCCATTATTAATTATCATCATCGCTTTCGTCTTCTGCAAAACTTCTCCTATTCATCGTCAAATAAGTGGAGAGGGGGGGGGGCAAGGGGCCGAGGGTTGTACCGAGCAGGGCTTGCAGCGCCCCAGCGTGCGTCTCGAGGTTGTCCGTCTGTTGCTCCAGAAAGCCCAGCTTCGTTGTGTCCTGGCTGTAATACTTGTACACGCTGCTGTACGCCAGAGTCTGAACGCCGACACAAGGAACTGTTATTCAGTCGGCACGGAACGATTTTCCGATTCAAATATATACTTAAGCTTGGGCGGTAGAGGCATCGAATGGCACGTGTTAAGATTGGAATATCTAGCACGAGAGAAAATATAAAATATAGCCTTACACGCAACGTAAATGGTTAACTTATGTTTCACAATAAAAATCACCCAGGTTGTTAAACACCCAAAATGTATAAACCAATTAAGTCAATTGTTTTTAGACAAAAACAGAGCATGCCGGCCAATACCAAAGGGCCATTCCCGACAAACACCGGGAATGGCCCTTTGGTGCTGTTGACCAACGCCCACGGACCTCAGCGGTTCACTGACCTTTTGAGCCTTAGCCAGGGCCTCGCAGGCATCCAACACAAACATGACCGTACGCCCAGGAATCGTCTGGTCCAGTGACTCCACCCGGCTCTTCATCTTCAGTGCAAAATCCTGTGAGAGGCAACACACCATGTGGTTCGAAAGGGGTATAACATACTAGCAAGTGGTTATACGACATATGCTAATCAGCATCATCATCATCGACACCATCGTCATCCACGCCATCACCGTCATCATTGTGATCGTCGTCAATCATCACCATCATCATGATGGTTATACCCGAAAAGAATGTTGAGTTAATGAAGCAATGCATTGTCATTTTCATCCGGTGCCGTGTTTACGACAGCTCGCACAGCGATGCCACGAACTGCTGTGTGTCCGTGCTTCACTCGGGAGCTGTGCAACGGTCCAGCAGCACTTACTTTGGCCTGGTGGTAGAATATGCACATCTCGTTGTACTCCTGGAACTGCTTTTCCCTCTTGGCTGCCTTGCTCACCTGCAAAAGAGAACAAGGTGTTAAGATATTTCACCTGGATGCAATTTAAAGAAGTTAATGATTTCATCCTTTTAGTATATTTTATTTTACAATTCTCTTATTTTATGACCTATTATGTAAATGTTTTTTTCACTGTAATTGATCCTATTTTTTATATTTTAAAATAGATAAAAATAGTGCAAACAGTGAAATCAAATAATTCTCAAATATATATTAACATGGCATAACATATACATAACTATGTATACATACATATGGCTAAGATTGTGCTTCAGAAAAGAGCAAACAGGTCACATTTCAAAATTATTTAATAGTTTATTTGCCACAATACTAATTCTGAAATCCATCTCTTTTGGTCACAATTAATTGCAATAGCAGTGAAACAAACATCAGGCTTGGACTTGATTATATCAGCTGTTAAGGCACCCCCGATTAGCAGTTGGTGACGTACGGTGCAAAATAATTTCAACATACATGCATACATAACGACTCTAATAAACCCCTCACCGTGGTGGAGCAGTTGTAGTACTCGGTGTGTGTCGGGGCCCACGCCTTGAGGCACCGCCAACAGAAGCTGTGGTTACACTTGGCACAGGTCATGCTGCAAAAAAAGGCAAAGCGGGCAACCTCATTCCACGGCTCAAAACGAGGCCATGGTGTTCCGATTCGTTTAAAATTCTGGTGGGCTCGCCACGCGCCACATGGCCGCCGTTTGCGACCGATTTTGAACGCAGCTCCACTCACTGCAGGCAGCCCTCGTTTTTCTCGATCTGCGCGTGGCAGCTGGGGCAGGGCTTGGAGATGAGCTTGGCCAGGTGTTTGCTGAGCGCGTCCGAGCTCATGCCCTCGTAGTAGCCACCCTCGTCCACCCACCACGCGATCTGGGTGCAGCTCGCGGGGCAGTGAGCCTGAACGGGGGGTAGCGTCATACACGTAACAAAAAAAGTTGTGGGGGTAGAACAGCGGTGTGGTGGTTGGCGCGCGATGCTCCGAACCCAGTTAACGAGTTAGATTCCCGACCACGGGTTACATCAACAGTATGATATCAGAACCAGCCCACGTCCTCCCACATCACCAGTCCTTCGCTGACCAGCGTGGTAAAGTATTATCAAACAATCAACTTAACCAACATAGTATAGGGGAGGTATTCATCCAGCAGTGGACAAATATCCGTAAAATATTAAAGGAACATTCTGCACGTCTATGTTGGTTCGTCGCTCGAAAGAAAGGTCACCTCCAGGAAGCTGCAAGAGAAGCAGGTGCTCCAGTGGCACTTGGCGCAGGTGGCGGCGTGCCCGCCCGTGCCGTCCTTGCAGAGCACGCGGTCGCAGCCCTGCGGGTTGGCGCACCACGCCAAGTTCGAGCAGCTCTCCACGTAGCCCCGCAGCAGCGCCCGCTTGTACTGCCAGACGCAAGCAGACACGCTCGGTCGCCATACGCGCCGGACATATGGACAAGCGCATGCCGCGACCGTTGGGTCTTTGCCTCTCAGTAGCAGCAGATACTCTATGTGGTGGTAGACTGAGAGAGGTGGATGGTCATTGTAGAGATGATGATCAAAGGTCAACCAGTGGGGCCGATCCAGCATCCTTACCAACTCCAGACGGTCACTGTCGTCCTCCATCATTGTCCTGATGAAGGCGCCTGTGGGCTGTGCGGGGCAGTCCATGATGGGGCAGGTGCACTTGGCGAGCATGTTCTGATCGATGCTGGTCCTCAGATAGGCTCTCCAGCATGACTACAGGGTGGCACAACCGGTCATCATCGTCATTAGCCACGTTCTGTTTCATGGTCTTGCAATACAACAATCCACATAGTACCTGCACACAAGATAACTTTACCGCTACATCTCCACTGGGGATATGATCACTGGTGGTGTGTTCCCTCCTTTGGCTGCCACTCCATCGTTAGTCTTGACCACCGGTTATCATCCCTCCGAGCAACGCGTCCTGTCCAAGCCCACTTAATGTTCTCAACAATCTGCAGGTCTCTAAATTGTAATCCGTGTGTACTGTAATCCACGTCTTCCTCTCAGTGCGAACACAGCAACCGGTCCAGTAGCTCAAATTCAAAGTGTACATTAAGGGACTGCTACTACTGTGCCCACACCTCCTCTCACCTTGCAGCAGCGGTGCGTGCAGTACAACGGTGCCAGCAGCTCCACCTCCCCGGTCACGCCCAGGCAAATGGGGCACGTGGGCTGCTGTTCGGCGGCGGCGCCGTCGGTGGGGTCGCGCGCCGGCGGGCCCTCGATACCGGCCTCGGTGAGCAGCTTGTCGCGCGAGTCCAGGTACCGCTGCACCGCCTCGTCCACGTTCCAGCCACAGTGCACGAGCAGGTGCTCGGCCACGCCCGCCTCCATGCCCAGCACGTCCACCAGCTGGCGCGTCGCATCCTCCATGAGCGGCCAAACCTCGGTCGGCGTGAGCGTGCGTGTGCGCACGGGGCTCGCCGACGAAGCCAGGGATGACAACGGCCGCCCGCACTCCCTCTCGTCCGCCGCTGACGCGCCGCTTTCTAAACAGGAGGACATTTTTTTTTAAGTAAAATTTTGAAGGCGTTGGTATCGAGTGCTTTTACATTTTTGTTACTGTTACACCGAGATTGTGGAAATTAAATGTTGTCATTCACAAATCTTCCTGTTGGACAGCACCCGGGGACACACAGCCCTAGGAAGGCAATTACAAGACAAGAGCCGCTAATTTTACTGGCTTGCACGATTCCCTCATCCCGTGAGAAACCACCTGCGTCCTTGCTGGGCTCCAGAGAAAGCCAGTTGCAGAAAGCGCGCCGGTTGGTGGGGTTGGCAGAGTCGGTGTCGGAGGTGTGCCGCAGGATGTGGGGCATGTCGTCACGGAATGACACGTAGCCTTGACGCAGGAGACGCTCCACGCACCAGCTCACGTCCGCCACGCCACACACAAAGCGTGGCACGGGCCGCCCGCCCAGACGCCCCTTCTGGCAAGCGTTCACCACCTTGGAAGAGCAGCGCAGCCGCACACGCAAGCGGTGGTCAAGTTAACGGCGGTGGATGGACACTCGGACGCGAGCACTTGCCAGCAGATGCCGACCATCATCGTCATCGGCTATGAGTGATCCACTGCTGGATGACGGCCTCACCAAGCCATCATCATGCCTTATCGTGATTTTATATCTACTTTTCTAAGAGCATCCTTAATTGTGTACAACTGTTTCGCTCCACGTGCCCTGAGCTTATACAGTACTTGCCATGCTCTCGGATTCACGAGACATACCAGAAGGATGCAATCCAAACGTATGCCCGGTGTCAATAGAGATATACAAAATCTAGGGGGGGGGGGGGGGGGGGAGTTCATTTTAAGATGGGAAGAATAAGATTAAGAATTAATGATGCAGTTATTTTTTTTATTTTAGATTTTTTTCTCAAAAATATTTGGCGCAAAGCCGTCGCGCGTTCCACCGTGCGCTCCGAAAGCGGCGCGCTCACTCTGAACACGAGGTTGTCGAAGTGGAGCTGCTTCTCCCGCTTGAGTAGGTGCACGACAGCGCACGAGATGACGTTCCTGCGCTTCTCGAGGGCGCGCGTCACCAGCTGCTCGCTGCTCGAGTAGCAGGGCGAGGGCAGCAGGCTCAGCCGTTCCCGCTGCGGCAGAGCCTGCAGCGCCTCCTCACGCAGCTTCAGGGAACCTGCCGTCGGGGAAACACGCGCCGCAAACAGCCTGTGACACTGGAGTCAGTGCGCGCGGGGGGGGTTAACTTCGTAAGTATTAAGAGCATCCCGGTACCGGTCGATCCACCATCAAGCCTACGCCATCTCTCAGTGTTGCGGTACGACAATCGATCCAGGCACTTGAACCGATTTCATCACTTGACGGCACTTATACGAACAAAAAAAGTGAATTGCTCTGGTTGTTAGGGCCATAACGGCAAGCGTCTGAGTGTGACTTGAGTACCCTTCAGGCTGTCGCCATCCAGCGATCCGAGCAATTGTAGAAAGGGGGCATCGGCCAAAGCCTGGAGGCACTGCTTGAGCAGGTACGATGTCACGTGGGTGTCCTTCTGTATCTTCTCAATGGACACCTCCTGCTCATGAGACAGATGAAGCGTAACAGTGAGTGTTCATGCAAAAAGCCACAAACATTCTCCCGTGTAGGTTGTCACGATTGGTCTGTGTAGCTCTCCGATGGCGTTTTGCGGGTTGCGCCGTGTTGTTTGGCACGATGACCAACGTTCCAGTTCCAAAAGCAGCTCCTCAGGAATGTGAGCGGAAACATCGGCATCATGTCGAGCAACACGGGCTGCGGCACCCAAAACATCGGACACCTAACATTCTTCTCTAAAACCGCATTTTAAAAGAGAATCCATCATCGGTTTTACGATTTGTGTCGATTTTTCAAGTGTCACACGAGTTTCCAGTTTCTCCAGTGACACCGCGTGATAACACGTTTGCAAAGTAAGAGTGATTTTTGACTATGCTTGTTTGGCCAAAATAATCTGCCTCCAAATTGGTGATCAGAGTTCCAAAAAACGTTGAATACGACCAGAATTTCTACATCCTAGTTGCTGGTGTGATTTTTAGGGTCTGCATCTGAATATCTGTACAAGTGACACAATGACACCCGTGGCCAAACGTTGTTGGTCACTCAACAGGAGGAATGTAGGTGCATGATTCAACTCGCCGATTAAAAGTGGTCACGCTCACGAGACGTACAATGAATAGTGCATGCAAGATCAAACATTTCTCATTTATGTCATTACTCACAAATATATTGCTAACGTTTAGGCTAATTGAGTTGACAAAAACATGTACAGAAGAAACCACAAAAAATAGAAACGTGAGACGTTAAAACACGTGTATGATGAAGGCCTCACCCCCACCACCCCTCCATGCGGGCCACGAGGGTTAATTGACCATACCTCACCATGTTACTCAGTTTGGGTTGGTTAAGATGGGAAGGAGAGGGCATGGGAAAGTACAGAGCAATGATGAGTTTGCTGCATTGTCTTCTACTACCCACAGTGCCTACGACATGTTTTTTTTTACACCATTGGAACCTCATTTGCCAGTAAAAATATGATAATTATTTTTTTTTGCCAGAAGGGTAAAAAACCAATTATCATGTTTTTTTGTTGTTCAAAGCCCCCAAACTGTGACCCCTGAATTGCAAAAGTTTATCCAATCACTGATGGGGGGGTGGGGGGTTGGGGTGGGCAGTGAATTGTCATCCGCTTAATTTCTATATCGTAGGCGTCTACAACTCGGGATTAGCGCACCGAAGCCCGACACAATTTTAGTCGAACGTGGTCGTTCTTTAAAACGGGAACTCACGTTGCCATCGTTGAACTGCATCAGGATGTACATCTGGAGCGTGGTAACCTGCAGCAGCGTCCCGCTAGGTGTCTGGAGCTCTGCGTGGCCCAGCCAAGTCCACTGCAACCGCTTGGGCTGCTGCTGGAATGCAGCCAACGTCTTCTGGCCTGCTCGGGGTGAGTGAGGTGCGAGTTTGGCACACACTTTCAAATGTCATGCATTGCATACGGCACATGATCGAGGATCGCTACATTTCATTGGCACTCCATAGAGATTCGGTTATATTTGCTCAAGTAACTCTTAGTCACCGCCAAGACAAAAATTAGTCTGGTTTTCAAAGGTTATGTGATACAAAGTCCACACATCAAGCGTTAATATTAAAGTTAGTGTTAAGCAAACTGCAAGGAGATGTTTCACAACTTAAACATGGTGTCACGTCAAGGTTGTTTTACAATGCCTTCATATTACTCAAAAACAAATTTCATAAGCAAACATTGAAAAACACCATCAACTTATGTACCATGCGTTCACAAGAAATGGCTAAAAGTACCCGCTCCAACAGTCTAAGTTAATGACCAATTGACCAAAAAGTTAATTACAGCCTTAAATTATCCTTTTTCCACTGGCACAATTGAGCCAAGCAACTGTGGGACTCTCACAATACAGGCGATTTTTTTTTCACGAGCTATTTGCTATGCCGAGCTGGAACCAAAGAGTAATTAGCTGACCTTGCAAGTCATCTGACACTGCTTCGGGGGCCAGGTAGGGCCACAGGAGGGGCTAATGACGCGTCGCTCGCATGTGATGTTAGTCAGTACGCTGTGGGTATACAGCGTCACCAATGTCACCGATATGTATTCTGGACCAGTTTCATTGCATGTGATGTCAGCGGGATGATTCGGGTTCTGCAGTGGAGAAACTATCCGGCACCTGCTGACCTACGCTGGGCTGGCCCAGGGCATGGCCCAGGGCATGGCCCCGACGTGGCACGGTTGAACAGTGGGAGAAGTTTGCCCATGTGTGTGCGGTGACTGAACGGAGCTCACTGTCAGTGAAGAACTGTTCATAGTGGTGGAGGAAGTACTGCAGGGCATGTGGGAGGGTCACGGCCGGGTTGCTGAGGCTGCAGCTTGGCTGGATTATGCTCGCCCAGCACGCAGGAGACAGCACCATCGCCCGCAGCCCTGCGCAGTCGCCTGGGTCCACCTCGCCCTCCCGCTCATCCTCTTCCATTTCCTGACATTTTTCATGAAAATACAGCCCTTTGTCAATTCAATTCTGGAGGAAGACCTCAACACATCATATTGAGATGACACCCGACTAGGATTTGAGCTTTAATGCCGACTCAAAACACCCAAACGATAGCACTACCCGATCAATCGATTAATCCACAGTTGTCACATATTTGAAATACCAAGCAGATAGCACTGCATCCTAATTCTTGTTTTATTATTTTTTATAAAAAATTATTTCCCAAATGTTATCATAAACGTGTTGTCATAGTAATGTGACGAAATTAAGTATAAATGTAGATTTCTGGCAGAGCAGTGTGACCCTCCCTGTTAAGCACATGGCAGCGGATATCATGGAGTTACCCTCTGAAATCATTTCAAGTGACCTCTGGTCCACAGAATAGGTGGCAGCACTTTCCCACCATCTCTGCTACTGAGTAATGTTCATCACATGACCATCAAAAGGAAATTTGTTTTATTCTCAAAGCAGGAATTTAGCCAAATTAAGTCCAGAAGCAAAGTTGCTGTTATGGGTTTTGTTTTGTGCAGTCACTGGAGACCAGGCTCAAGAACATTAACGACCTACACCAGTGGCTACCTAGTGTTGAACCCAGGTCTCAGTGCTGCCAGCTGAGCTGTCTGACCTCTGAGCCACCCGGCCCACCTCCTTATTGAATTCACGGTCACCGAGGGTGCGAGAGGGCACCTCGTCGGAGAGCGCGGCCATGCGGCGGTCGAACTGCTCCAGCTGGTGCTGTTGGAAGTCGGTCATGGCGCTGGTGGACTCGGCGACGTCCTGGAGCAGGCGCTGGGGGAACTTGGCCGGGAAGCAGAGAGCCAGCTCCATCACAGCCTCCACCTCCGCGTAGTGGGGGCCCAGCGTCAGCAGGCGTTCCGCAAGGTAGAACCTGAGAGCACAAGCGAGGAGAGTCGAGGCAGCTCAAGGGGGGCGCGGCGGTTGAGCAAGAGACATTTAGCTCGCGCTGGGCTCTGCGTTTATTTAAGTTATCGATTGCTAGACCGATTATATTATTGGTTAAAAAAACACCCGACTAATCGGATAACAAAAAAATTGTTGGCGAACAAAGTCTCACCTCTGTTAACACGTCTGTGGTTAGCAGGGAGGTGATTGGTGGGGCTTAACGCTGCGTCGGGCTGGGTATGGCTTCTCGGGGGTTTCCTGCAAGATGTCTGGACGGCTGCCAACTGTAAAGTCGGCAGTTGTTTTCTACACATTTGCCATTCCTCAATTCATACATTCTCGAGAGAGTAATGTCATGGACGGAGCTAAATGAAAGGCCACGGCCGCCGTCATATTTGAGAAAAGACGTGGCACATGGAGAGAGAACTATTGTTCAAGGAAAATTCTTCTCAGAGAATTAGTGTGGAAGGGACTACCGTTGGTGTTCAGCCTCGCCTGTAAAAGTGCTCGAAGGTGTTGGCCATCTCCAGTCCAGATAGAAAAACGATGGGCTCGAGTGTGGTTTTGAGCTGGCTGAAGGGGTCGCCACCAGTGCCCTCGGAGCCTATGGCACGAATCAGTCGGTCTGTGTACTGCGCAAATATCTCACAGACCTACAACACACAAGCCACGCACACACACACACAGAAAAATGTACAACGGTGCTAGGCATGTAAAGATTCATCGATAGAAATCCATTACTGCAGCAGGTTTGCGCGGTTGTGCCGTGTAGCACCGCATGTTGTCTGGCATGGTGTCCAATGTTTCGTTACACGCGCTGAGAGATTCTTCAGATACTGAAATTAACGTAGAGAAGAAGCTCCTCTGCTGCATGCGATAAAACCTGAAAACAAATCTGAAAATGGATACAAAAAATATATATTTGTAAGCTCACAATGTGTTCAACGTGTCATTGTGCCAAAACAAATTGCCTAAAAATTATATGCGATTCTTAATTTACGGATAATTGAAGAAATGAAAAAGAAAATGAGAAACTAGAAGGTAAAAAAACAGATAAAATGTACTGAATCACAGGCTGGGAGAGGAGGGAGCTATTACTTGCGTTTTATATACATTATTTCATTGCCACTGTCTATTGAGGGTGGCAAGGAAGTGTTGTAGATGTCTTCTTGTTTCTTTCGGTAAAGTCACGTAGAAGGGAAGTAATAAAATAATAAAAATAAAACATAATAAAACAATTCTCACGACGTTTCGGCTACAACGCAAGCAGCCGTCTTCAGGTGAAGAATGAGACACTACCAAACTAGGAGCTTATATATAAGCTGCATTGGGGGTTGAAGAGCGCCTTAACAAAAAGAATGTGCATGTGAAGAGGAATTTAGCATATTCATGGAAAATGCGTAGGCGTTGGGCGGGGGGGTGTCAAAGTCATATTATGCCCATGCATTATGCAGGATCAGCAGCAACCAAGGGGGGTGCAGGGATTAGCAGTAACAAAGGGAAGGAATGTTAATGATATGTAGCTGCAGTTACTCAACAACCACGTAGAAAACTAAAGTATGTAGTTTATACTTTAGTTTTCTACGTGGTTGTTGAGTAACTGCAGCTACATATCATTAACATTCCTTCCCTTTGTTACTGCTAATCCCTGCACCCCCCTTGGTTGCTGCTGATCCTGCATAATGCATGGGCATAATATGACTTTGACACCCCCCCGCCCAACGCCTACGCATTTTCCATGAATATGCTAAATTCCTCTTCACATGCACATTCTTTTTGTTAAGGCGCTCTTCAACCCCCAATGCAGCTTATATATAAGCTCCTAGTTTGGTAGTGTCTCATTCTTCACCTGAAGACGGCTGCTTGCGTTGTAGCCGAAACGTCGTGAGAATTGTTTTATTATGTTTTATTTTTATTATTTTATTACTTCCCTTCTACGTGACTTTACCGAAAGAAACAAGAAGATGAATCCCTGCAGTCACGAAAGCTTTAAATCGAAATGTTGTAGATGTATTAAGGGGGAAGCAGGCGTAATGGTTGCTGAACCTGTGTAGGATGGAAAAGAGCAGCTGAAGACAGGCTGCTTGCAGCAAATTAAGGGTTTAGGCCAAACATCACAATACATCAAATTGTATCAGTAATAAATATTTTTTTTGGAGTTCGCATGACCGCTTCCAGCGATGAGAGACGGCTACATTCTCCACAGCGTAATAAAAAAAGACTGGAGCAGAGCAGTGACCTTAAATCAGGACAAATCATTGAATGGCAAAGGGGGCGAGTGGTAAAACCACATACTCCACCAATCAACACAGAATTCTGCAACCTGCAGCAATCAGCCACATCTCACACCACGACAGTGTGGGGGTCGCACGTCGTGGCCACGGAGTGGTCGAGCCGTGAAGGTCACCTTGAGGGCACGGTTGTGCGACAGCTGCAGCAGCGCCGACCTGAAGCCCTCCCGCAGTGCCACGGCGAATGCCACGTGGTTGCCGAACAGCTCGCGCGATGCCGCGCTCAGCTGGGTGAACTGCGCGCCGTACTTCTCCGCAAACTCGGCACTGTTCCAGTGGGTGCTCAGAAATGTGGAAACCTGGGGGAGGTGTTTTTTTGTTATTGTTAATCACTTGGCTCAAAACACAAAGTGGTCAGCAGTAAACAGCACGACCGAATGTAATAGATAATAGCAGATAAAAAAAAAATCACATTGAAAAATTTAAGAACTTTGGGAAAGAGATGTCTCAGAAAACACAGTGTGGATGAGATCAAAGTCTGATAGACCCAGTCCTCAACATGAACGGAAGAGTCAATGAGTGCGATTCATGGGAACAGTAACCATGGGAGTATAATAGAAGAGTGATCAGGAGGTGACTGACCGCTTGTGTGCGAGCGACTGGAGTCAATCAGCGAGTAATGAATCATCAGTCATCGAGGTGGCAGGGGGGCCTAAGTCAGGGTTTTTCCACTGGAGGCTCACGAGCTACATTTGACCCGTTAAGACTCAAGAAGTGGCCCACTGACATGTGACGTCATAACACATGTACATACGTGACGTCATTATGTATGTACAATGTGTAATATGAAGTCATGTGGTTCCGCCACCATACGGTAATTTTATTACGTGGTTCGCCATAAAATATATTTGAAGAATTCTAGCAAAAGCCTTTGATTAGGCTCAGTGAAAAAGTATGAATATGAACGATGAAACAGAAGACTCCATAGATATCCTGTCAAAAACAAACAGAATTGCCTTGAAGGTGCTGGAAGCAAGGGGCACACACACCCTCATACACACGTGGTGTGACAGGGCGGCATATCGCACGCGACTCTCACCTGCGCCTGCACTACCGAGGCCCAGCAAGCGGCGAGCGGGGCCACGCTGTTGTGCCTTTTGGCATCAGCGCCAGCTTCGTCAAACTCGAAGTCTTTGTCTTTGGTCTGAGCCCCCTTTGCACCTGCCAGAGAGGACAGATGGACACACCGCTTTAATAAAGGACATTGCATTGTAGCTTGTATGATTGGAGTGTTGATTTAGTCAGTTACCCACAAAACTCTGTCCACTCGATATTATTGTCGAACCAAGCTTCGACAGTTTTTTCCACGGTAAAAGCGTTGTTGGAGATAACTGCCGGCGAAGGCTGCCCTTACACTGCCAGAGTGTAGAGGCATTGACATGTATTGTGGTTTGACACATTCTGATCCAAAGTTCTTATACTAGGCATTTCTCAAAATCTCGTCATCCCATCTCCATTGTCCAGCTTATAATATTTCTCCGTTGCTACACCATGAAGTAAACAACTCAACACATTTGTCACACTGTATTTAAAGAAAAAATATACAATAGGTGAGGATTCGGGAAGTGACCCTGCTTCATAGCACATATACCATAGAGTAGATCACTGGATTTGGTGAAAGGTGACAAAGTTGTTCGCGTAATATGCGACGAGTCCAGCCCCTAGTCAATGTGGTTCACATCCACGGCTAAAAATCAGTGGGCGAACTATATCTGAGGTGGTTACTTGGTTCCAACTTAACCAACCTGCACCGATCAGCATGGTGATGTGCTCGTCAAACAACCCCCCGTAACGTACGCAGAGTGGGTAAGCCCTTCATCCTGCAGTGGATAGATCATGGCTGGTGATAATCAAGCGGTGTTGGTTAATCCTAAACCAAAGTTCACACTGATGTGATGGTAACACTGGCGGGGTGAGACAGCAGTGTAAGGGACACAGCAACGGGGCAAGCTGCCCGGCGGCACACCTGTGGGCTTGGCGGGCACGTGGATGTCGGCACTGGCGATGGGGTTGGTGTTGGCGTGCACCAGCAGGCGGCACAGGCGGCGCACGCGCGACGCAAACACGAGGGCCTTGCTGCGGCCGGCGCGCCGGTGCTGCTCGTTCTGCGACAGGTACTCCTGTAGCAGCCAGCGGAATGGGCTGGCCTGTTCGCCGGAGCCTACACACCCACCGGGCACGGAGAAACGTCAATGATCAAACGTGGTGCACGGTGCAAGCGTTTAACTGCCTGCAACACAGCGCCGTCTTCAGGAGCGATGGTTGGGAAGTGTTGAAAAGGATGGGGGATGTGGCACCTTCAGCCGTGATGCTGCTGACAATGGGAGTAACCAGCGCCTCCCAGCAGGTCTGGCCCAGGGCCTGTGCCGCCTCTGGGTCCGGCAGGAACTGCTCGGTGAAGCTCTGCTCATGGCGAAGGACAGCACCCAGCCTGCGGGTAAACATTTCAGTCATTAATGAAGGTCCACTCCCGGAAGAACCACGACAGCAGTGTTCTTCTATTATATTTTGCGAAGGGACACAATAAAAAGTAGCATGTGCTGGCACACCACTTGGCATCATTGTACACGTGTTATGTCACACAGCAGCGTGACGTTATAACATCTGCACATGCAACCACTGATCCGTACATTCTTGCCCCTAGGTCTCTTGATCTCGATTTTATTAATTTCCTTTGCATCCTAATAAACTGCATCTGTTTATATCTTGGTGAGCTATATTTCTCAGGAGGCCAGAACTTGGGTGGGGTCACTCCCAAGAGCCTTTCACAGGCCACAATGGCACACCAGTTGAAACAATCCTGGCCTACATAACCGCATCATTGTCAACCAAGGGGCTTAAAGATTCCATGATCAAGGCTGACTGTATATTTTGCGTGAAGTAGTTGCCACTATTGCCAGCAGACGATTAGGATGCTGATTCAGCGAGCCATCAGCAAAATGCAAAGGTCAAGTGGAAGCCACACCTGTTCTTGGCAAAATATTTTAATCAGCTGTGACAGCGTTTTGCAAGTCTAGGATTTCAGCCAATATTTTGCTCGCTGAGTTTTGCAGGCGTCGACATTGTATAAATCCATTTAGAGTATCTGCGATCGCCAAGAACAAAGCCAAGAACCAAGCCGACGCGGCAGAGCTTTTGTTTTCAACACAATGAACAATGCTGCAGCACATGGGGGACATGACAAGGTTACTGCAGCTAACATACGATGGGAGTGTTGTTGAAAAACAGGACATTGTGGGGAAGGGGGACTGGTGGTGATCGCTTATAAAAGGCAATTCATGGATGGCTTTGGGTCCTGCCCTCTCCTTCACCAGCCTGCATTGACCAGCGTGGGGAAGTATGGTCAAACAATCCCCATGACCGACATGCCAAAATTGGAGCCTTCATCTGACGGTGCATTGACAAAGGACTGTGTGCATTATTATAATAGAGTGTGTAGGAGATGAAGAAACCTACGATGGGTTTATTTTCTACTTATTCCAAGCTCAGAACTGTCATCAACCAGACAATAGTGATGGGAAGTTTTACAAACTTCCAAATGAGTCATTTTCAAGTCATTTCAAAAACAGTTCGTGACCCCACACAAATGTCTACTGGAAAAATTGATATCACAAGCGCTTGAAAATACATTTCACAACATAAATGCTCGTTTAAAATAATGCCCCAGAGGGATCATGAAATCTGTCCAGGACATGACAATTAAATTAGCATGTATCCATTAAGATATTTTTAAACCTAAAAAACATAATGCAACAGTTCCCGGATAACGCATTGAGTAACCCATCTGCCTTCAAGGGGCACTTCCGTAATGTTTACAATTCACCACGTCGCAAATTCGTTGCGTGGCAAACATCCATCCCCCCCCTACTTGTTGTAGAGTTGCAGCATGTGCAGTCGGTTGAGCCGCACGGCCTCCGTCCAGGCGTGGGCCTTCACCGTGTAGAACAGGCACGTGCGGCGGCACAGCTGCTCGCGGAACACGGGCCAGAACGTCGGCTTGGGGCCCAGGATCTCGAACCCGTGTACGCGCGTGTCTATGCCTCCCTGCGGTGGAGCAAACGGAGCGTGGTGGATGGGGGGTGGGGAGATGGTCGAAATGGTCCAGTGAGGCACGACCGACGACAAACAGGCGGCGCTGGAATGTGTTACGAATCACGGCGTGAGAAATTTGTACAAAGGAAAAAAACATGTTCGGGTTATGAAGCTCGGTGTTTCTCAATTTGAGTCCTCGTGACCCCCAACAGCACCCCACCACAACCCCTGGATTACCAACCATTAGGTGCATGCAGTGCGTGCAATGGCTGGCTTAGCTTGCACGTGAAGATGAACATATTATGATAATAAAAAATGTGGACTGTGGGAGATTGTGCGCACTGGAGTTGGGAAAAGTGGATCTGGCTGACCGTGTTACATTTCCAATTGCATTTCCTCTCACCGTACGCATTCAAAAGCCCCGAAGCCAAAGATGCAGCTCACACCTGTTGGCATCTCTTGACGCGGATCTGGATGATGGGCCAAAACCTGGTCATGTTCTCCAACAACACCACCTTGCTCGCCGAAGATGGCACGTTCACCTAAAGCACGAATAAAACGTACACACGATACTTCCAATTTACATAAAATAATTGTAAGATCTTCAAGGTTCAGGAAATTGTGCAATCTTTAGGAATAGCATTCAGTGAGCACATGTTGTGAACAGCTGTTGACTTCTTAACTAATTGCCATTTCCCATGTGAGGTGTTAACAACAGTTTGTATTGCCTGTATAGGGGGTGAAAGGGTCACTTCAACCATCCTTAGAAGCTGCTAGGCAGCATTGTTAACTGATTTAAAGGTTTCCGCATTTATGGCAGAACAACAACAGCATCTAAAGGACCCACTTATTGAAGGGGAGGGGGGTGCACGCAAAATAATTCTGATGAAAGCCAAAAAAAGTCTGTCTGTGGTCGCTGGAGACAAGAAGTTTTCCTACAGACTGCGTAATTTATTGAATAAAGGTACGGGAAGCAGCGATTGATGGATTAACATCGATTCTTAAGCACACGTATGCGTCAAATTACGTTCGGTAGAACCAATGTTTTTTTTTCTTCCTCATTTGTATGTTGTTGTATGCAATGCGTTCTCATCGCGACTATTCATTGAATCGCTGGAGAGGTTGAGGTGAATCGCTCTGGCTCCCGTGTTGTCTCCAGCAGAGGTGGGAGGGGAGGCTACGACTTTCATTTCACATGGCCCATAGCTCCATGACACCTTCCACTTCGAAACGGCTTACAAAAAATATGTATCCATCACTGCAAAAATCTTAGGCGCACTAAGCGGGCAGTCGACTTTACTTAAGTGTTGCTAATTTTAGTACACCCAGTCAATGATGTGACTGCAAGGGCCTGCTGCACCGACAGAAGTGACTGCAGTGTGTGTTAATCCATGGCCCAGTAAGGGTAAAGAAAGTGTTCCCCACCCTTGGTCTGCAGTATAAGTGGACGCTGTTCACACGTGAAGGCAGCAGCACTTACGGCGTTGAGCTCCGTGTTGATGTTGTTTGGGTCATCGCCTCCCATGGCCACTATGCGCGCCGGCATGTAGCTCGAGTCCTCGCTCGCGACCAGCAGGGACAGCTTCCTGCAACGACGCAACGCAGAGTCACATCGGCAGCGAGCGTGGCGCTTTCTCTGCGTCGCCAGCACCGTTGCCGTGAAAACCACACGAAGCCCGTTCCTCCGCTCCCTCGATCTCGGAAGCGGAGTTCCATTTGCTGAGGGCAACTTTTTTCCTTAAGGATGGATTTAAAGTGATAGCTATTGGTGCTGATGTTTCGACTGTATGGTGGGCACTGCAACCGAGTTGTGTTCGCTGCTTGGCAAAACTCAGCAAGAGCTTTAGTCACGTATGATGCATATGTGTGGCCACGTTTCCAGCAATTCTCTCTGCCAATCCCCTAGTCTGGTAAAGACTGTTAAGAGAGATACCGCTGTGTGATGAGATCCAAATATGGTAAAAGAAAAATAAATCTACTGTCTCACAACCCACTCGCTCAAACTATGTCATTAATCACAAAGACACAACACATCATTTTAAGAGTACCCGCTTTCATAAAACACACAGCAAGCCAAAACTGTTATGATGAAAAGCATACTAATTGTGGACAAAAACGCCATAATCACTGGCGTGGAATCCTCAGCCAAAGCGGTGCTAAAATTGGACTTCTACCAAAAAAGACAATTCTGGAATCTCATCCATGTGATAGAAAACAAAGCCCGTGGATGGAACAGAATGTGAACAAGGCCAGCCTTTGCCCCAGACACCACCCTAATAAGGCATGCTAGCGTTAGCGACAGGCTAACACATTTATTGGGTGAGGGCCAGCATTGTTAAAAAGGCGTGTGATGATTTGCGGTCGCAATTTTATCCAACATTTTATTCTTTGTTGCCATCGCAGAACCTGCGGTGGGGGCCCAGGAGTGATATAAAATGCTGATGTAACAATTAATTATATTATCAGCCTTTTGTCAATCCCCCTGCTTGATAAAGGCCTCCGCAAGCCATGTCAGTCATTGGGGGGTTATATGGCCATATGTCACGACGCTGGTCAATACCGGTACCAGTTGGTGAAGGGGTGGAGAGGACCAGCATTGTTTAATCAACTTGAGCAACCCACACTGACCAATGTGGTGCTAGAAGGTCAAACAAGCCCCATGACCGACACGATGTAGTGAGGCCTTCATACAGCAGTGGACAAAGGGCTATATGTTATTTATATATCTTTACATATTTAGAATGTCATGGGTTGTAGAAGACGCCAGGCAATTTTAACATCCTCCCATGACAATAGGATTGAGCGTTCCAATAAAAGACCCGTGTTCGAACATCGATTGCATGACTTTCAGAATCGATCATCGATTCCGTGAACCAGTGTCAAAAACCGACAATCTATGAATAAAACCCTGCCGGGAGACTCGCCTGATAATGACGCCCTTCAGCATGGTGATGGTGATAAAGTGCGAGCCAGTGCTGCCGTTGGACTCCCAGTAGGTCTTGGGGTTGCCATCCAGCAGCTTGCTAACGCGGTGCTCGTTGGAGGACACCTCCACCTTCTCCCAACACTTGTCTTCCTTCACCTCCACATTCGAGCCTGGCGGGAAGAAAAAGATCATGCTGCTATGAAGGAAACCAGGACCTTGTCATTAAAATAACTCTCACTGTTCATAGCTATAGGTTCAATCACCAACACGTTACGTGAAAATGAAGAGCATTGCGTTTTTTTCCCTTCTCGTTGGTTATGACAATCTTCCTGTAGGACAGTCAACTGAAACAAAACTTTTTTCCATTCCATTTATATCAAAACGAAAAAAAAGTGTGTGTGTTTTATTGTACTTGGTTATCCCTTGTGTAACACTGGTAAATCGGAAATAACTCAATTCTATAATACAGATGAACTCATCATCGTTTACATGCAGAACACCAACAGTGTCTATATGGGACAATATCCAGCACTGCCGTTCAATTAACCCAACACAGCATGCACGTTGGCTCTTGTAATATTCCACGTAGTAGCCTAGACTATAAAACCACAATGACCTTATTTGGGAAATGCTTATCTTTTCTGCAGATACAGCCATACGATCTTTATTTATTTGAAACCGAGTCCACATTGCTTATCTCAGAAAAGGACTTAAATATATAAAGTCCTCGGTCTGCATCTTTAAGTTATGTGTCTACGGATAGAGTTCGAGACAACTGGCTGGTCTTTGGTAACTTTGACCGGCAGATTCTCAGTCTAAAACATCTAAGAACAGATCTAACTGGTGGCAGATTTAGTCTTTTAAAAATACATGGCAGCAAATGCAGTTTGGCAGTGCCGTTTTATTTCCCACAATAGATAAAACGATGACGTACCTTGGCAAATGTTGCGTAGAAAAATATTAAAGAACGGGATGCTGATTGGCTGCTGAGTTCGACGGGATTCCTCGATCTGACCAAGAACCATCTGATGGGGCAAAACAAATCCAAAAAAACCACACACAAACATGGTCATCGACCCTCAATGGACATTTGGCGCAAATGCTGGCAGTGATCAAGGTACCCCAAACAGGCTATAAAATTATCAACAAATACATTTACCTTGGTATTGAGTGCACGGAGCATAAACCCACAATAATACAGAGTACATGTGTATATGTACATCCCTTTGTCAATCCACAGCTGGATGAGAACCTCCCGAACACCATGCAGGTCGTGCAGCTTATTTTACCACACTTCACCGCACTGATCAGTGCGCTTTGGTGAAGTCCGGAAGCAAAGAACATCGAAGTACAATACAACAGTCGATTTAGCTACACTGCCCTGCACTGACCAGAACGCTCCAAGCAGACTGGCTCAAAACCCCAACACAGACATTAGCACCCGCTCCCTCCGCACCACCCACCCAGACACACGTGTCCAGCTCAATGGAGTGAATATGTAAACTAGCCGGAAAAAAACCCAAAGATCCTGCATATAGCCTTAAGAGACTGTTGGGGCTAATGCTGTTAGCGAACACCTATGAAGGCTGGCACAGTACACGAGAGGATGGGAGGCCAGCACCACCACATTTGTTTCCCTAGTGGCGATGTTTACACACCACACCAGGTATTAATTTGAGGCTGAGTCGACTTCGGGGAGGCCCAGGACCGGTTCAAATAATCGTCACAGGTGTTGGCCGTGAGCGGGACTCGAATTCCGTCCGCTGGATTCGTAGCGCAACGCGCTAACCACTACACCACCGCTCCCCATACTGACACACGCGCGCACAGACATGCGGCGAAGCGCAGTGAAGTACCGAACCCACCTGTATGCAGCCGGCCAGGATGCTGGTGGTGAGCTGTTTGTAGAGCTTAGCGTATTTCTCACAGTCGGCGACCAGGTCGCGCAGCTCGGCTCCCAGCAGCAGCCCCGGCCCATGCTTGTCCAGCGCCCGTGTGATGGCCTCGCGACCTCCCACGCGGCACATCACGATTGCGTAGTCTTTGTTCTCCGACGCCAACCGGTACATGAATCGTACAAACTCCTGCTGGACCTGCAGCGACATGCGACCCCACGTGCGTTGTTATTTTTTTCGTTCATTGACCCTTGAACTAAGAATTACCGTATTGCAATACTCCTTGACTTCACACATATTTTCGTGGTGGCATCTTCGATGTTTCACTCCACATGCTGGAAACTTGTTTCGGCAAATGATTTTGTTCCTGTAGAAGCTTCCAGCACATGAAAGGAAGCATTGGAGATCATGCCGAACACGCAATGCAACTCAAAAGCACATGGGAGTGCCCTTACTTCACTTGGACGGAACAACATTGGAGAGTTTTTCGTCGGTGTGCAAGGCTCTATGATTTAGAACTGCGTGTGGTGTTTAGTCTGTTGTCCTTCCCCTGCACCTCCAATTCGCACGCTTGGCTATATACGGTGCGAAAGAAGTTAAACATACGTACACTCACATTTATGAAAATCATGATAACGTTTTCTGTTTTAAGTCCAAATAATTAAGTGTCTCCCTCTCAATGTCACCCAAGTCTACCTCTCTCTGTAAACGTCTTAACATCTCTCAAGGAAAGAGGTACATTGAGCAAGTCACTCGCTGTACGCAAGGCAACCAGCACGAACCTCCTTGACGACGGTCTGCATTCCGATGACGGACAGGAAAGGCACCAGTGCTTCGTGCCATGGCAAAGAATCTCCTTTCCTCTTCTCGAGGAAAATGGTCAACATCCTACACACGCGCGCATGCCAATAGGCCACAAAATCCCAACAATTAGTTGTACATGTGTTTGTCTTTCCAACACCACCAGCACAAATACAGCAAATATGTTGTGTCATTCCTCATCAGGGGAGCGAGCATCCATTGATTAATCGACTGTCATTGTTTCTAAATGTACAATATATACATTTGTAATAAAAGGACTCAGACACTTCTTTCTGTCTTCGTGTCCTTTATTGGGTTCTTGTCTTCTCCCACACGGCACTCTGTTATAACTCTGTATTTGTAGCCCCCGGCTGTTGACTGCTATTATAGCTTCCCTTCTCTCCCCGCAGACTCTCTGCTTCATCTACCGTAACCTCTGTTCTCTCCCTGCAGACTCGCTGCTACCCCTATGCAGACTCCCTGGCTGCTACCGTATGCAAACCCGCTGCTGACTCTGTATGCAGCCCCGCTGCTGACTCTGTATGCAGCCCCGCTGCTGACTCTCTGTGCAGCCCCGCTGCTGACTGCAGCCTCCTCGCTGCTTCGGGTCGGTCACCGCTGGCCAACGGTGCCGATCCTCGCTCCCCCGTGTTCGTGGCGATCTCGCCACCCTCCGCTTCGCCCTTCGTGGCCTCTCTCTGTTCCTGGTTCCCCGTCACTCCCTCTCCTCTTCCGGTTCCCCTCCTTCTATAGCCTAACCCCTCACCCCCCCACGTGACCTAACTCCTCCCCTCCTGACGTCACCTCCGGAGGGCCGTTTACGCCCGCATTACATCACCCTCCCCCATAAAGAAAATCCAGCCGACCTCGGCTGAAGTGCAACCTGACAAGAAATGCGGGTGTAAAGGGCCAACACGTAAAAAGACACGAAGCCTGCAACAACAATATAACCAGAACACAACACAATACAATTTTAACGAAACGTGAGGGATTTCGAGCGAGTACGGGTAGCCGGGCCGTCCCGAACGGTCGGCAGCCCACCCGCCGAGCGGGAACGTGGAAGGGTTTTAGGGGCGACGGGAGCGAGTTCGTCCGTCGCCATTGGAGGCCCGCCACTGTCCCGGTCGCGTCCAGAGACATCCCGTACTCGCGTCCGCGGAGGGATAGGAAGAGCCGCAGGTCCCGTGGGTTCTGCGGCTCCGGTCGTCATCCCACGAGCGGAACGTCCTCCTCCCTGCGCGGTCACGGCCGGCTTGTCTGTGAAGGGTACGACAGGCGCTCTCGCAAGGTCAGCAGACACAGGCAAGGGCGAGTCGGCAGCAACAGACCCCGGCAAGGCAACTTCGGGAGATGACGCATCCGGCCGCGGGGCAATGTATGGCTTCAACCGGGATGTATGCACGAACCAGCGACGCGAACCAACCTGAACACGCGCCGACTGTGGGTTGGGAACCTCAATGAGGCGGACCGGACCTTGCCACGGTTTGTGTAATTTAGGAGAGGTACCTGGCCGCACCTGTGGGCAATGAAGCCAGGCCAGGTCCCCCTTCTTCCAGGGGCACTCCCCCTTCGAACGTCGGGCACACCGCTCATTCCTGGCCTGAGCTTTGGCTGTAGCCATGCGGGCTCTTTCCCTCGCCTCAGTGACACGGCGAACGTTGTCCTGAATATACTCAGGAAGAGGCCTAACAGGTCCCCTCGCACCGGTTCCCAACTGCTCATTAATCGGCGGCACATTCTCACGGCCGTACATAAGGAAGAACGGCGAGTATCCAGTAGCCGCGTGTGGCGTCATGCGATACGCCGAAAGCACCCCAGGGATATGCAAATCCCAATCAGATTGATTTTCCCCGACTGTATGGCACAGCATGGCGGACAGAGTCCGATTCAACCGTTCCACCATCCCATCCGTTTGTGGGTGGTAGGGGGACGTCCGTATCTTTTTAGTTCCAAGAGCCGCACACACCTTCCCCAACAATTTGGACGAAAAGTTACGCCCCTGATCTGTAAGGAGCCTCTCCGGCGCCCCCTTGTCCATTACATACCCAAATAGAAAGGCGTCAGTGATAGACGCCGCTGACTGGTCAGGCAAGGGCCAGGCCATCGGCCAGCGAGAGAGGTACTCCACCCCCACCAGTAAATACTTATTTCCCTTAGCGGATGGCGGAAAGGGTCCCAAGATATCTAACGCCACCAGCTCATTAACCAGAGATACTTGAATCGATTGTATCGGCGGAACATATGGATGTTTAGGCGGTTTACGGCGGGCACAATCGGGACACGCGCGAACGTGACCGACGACATCCGTCGTCATGCCGTGCCAATAATAGTCTCGTTGCAGCGTCAACAGGGTTTTCTGCACCCCCAGATGTAAAAGTGTGTCACAGTGCAACGATCTAATCAACTCGTACCGCAATGACGCAGGCACAACGAGACGCCAGTGTTCCTGTATCCCTTCCCTCCACATCAGTAACCCATCTCGGAGAGCAGTTTCCGAAATACCACCCGCACCGAGTTCCTTACCCGCCTTCTCCGTTCGTTTTCGTAACGACACCAAAGAATCGTCCAACATTTGCTCCCGAATCCACACAGACCTCGGAAGACGCAAAATCCCGTCCGCCGGTCCCCCGTCAACCGGTCCCGGTGTAAGCGGAGTTTCGAGAACATCCACCGCCAGCGCGACAGGCTGAGGGGGGAGCTGAGTCGGTCCACACCTATGCGTCCCCGACGCACACGCACAAGGGGATTGTTGCGGCAACCTGGACAGTGCGTCCGCGTTAGCGTGACGCACACCCTTCCGATGGTGAATTTGGAAGGAAAACTCCTGCAACGTGTCCAGCCATCTCGCCAATTGTCCGGATGGCTGGTCCATCTTAAGAGCGTATTGCAAGGCCGCATGGTCCGTGCGGACAATAAACGACCGACCGTACAGATACGGTCGAAATTGGCGGAGAAAAAACACAATAGCCAAAAGTTCCCTGCGAGTGACGCAGTAACGGGTTTCCGCGGGAGACAAAACTCGACTCCCATACGCCACCACACGCTCAACACCACCTTTTGACTGGGACAACACCGCCCCAATACCAGTGTCACTCGCATCAGTATCCAGAATGAAGGGATGTTCAAAATCCGGATAATCCAACGTCGGTGCAGTAGCCAGTAAATCGCGCAGGCTCCGAAACGCCGCCTCCTCCGGCGGTCCCCACACAAATTTATGCCCCTTCCCAGTAAGGAGATGCAAAGGCCTGGCGATAGTAGCGAAATTCGGAACGAACCTCTGATAATATGAGGCGAACCCCAAAAACCGACGCACATCACCCACCGTGGTCGGGGTTGCCCAATCCCGGACACACGCAGTTTTCTCTGGATCCGTGGCCACTCCGTCCGCACTAACAATATTTCCCAAGTACCGAACGGAGCGTTGCAGTAGATGACATTTCTTAGGCTTGAATTTCAAATTAGCAGAACGCATTCTGGCAAATACAGCCTCCAACCGCAGTAAATGCTCATCAAATGTGCGGCTGAAGACAATAATATCATCTAAATAAATGAGACATGTCTCCCACTGCAACCCCGTCAATACCAACTCCATCAATCTCTGAAAAGTGGCAGGGGCTGCATTCAACCCCATCGGCAGACAATTAAATTGGAATAACCCCTGCGGCGTACGGAAAGCTGTTTTTTCCCGCGAGGGCTCGTCAAGGGGGAGCTGCCAGAAGCCCGAAGAGAGATCAAGCGTTGAAAAAAACTTAGCCCCTGACAAGGCGTCGAGAGAATCGTCCATACGCGGCAGGGGATACGCATCTGCCACCGACACTTTATTCAACTTCCGAAAATCCACACAAAATCGCAATTTACCATCCTTTTTTTTAACCAACACAACAGGCGCGCCCCACGGGCTATTAGACGGAGATATAATATCCGCCTTCAACATGTCTTCCACTGCCCCTCGAACATGCTCACGCTCAGCCGGACTCATCCGACGCGAGTTCAAGCGGATAGGGGCAGCGTCCCCCGTGTCGATATGATGAGAGAGCAGCGAGGTGCGTCCCAAGTCCAAATCGTCCGAGCTAAACACATCGGAATAGCTCGATAATAATTTATGCATTGCACAACGCTGCTCGGCGGAAAGGGCCGAATTTTCCCCACATAATTCGGCGATCCAACGATCATCCACCCCTCCATCGTGTGAAACACCACCCACCAGCCCCCCGTCCGGCAGGTCACTCTGAGCCGTAAACGCCGTAGTGGCGTGTGCCACAACGGTACCAGCCGGCACACACACACTTTCAGTACTCGCATTTAACACCTGCAAAAACGGGCGCTGATCTGGACGGACAATAGTTTGCGCCCCCACCAGTGCCAGTCCGCCCGTAACAGCGGCGGACGGCGACAGCAAAATCCCAAAAGCACCCTGCCGACCCGGAACCGGCTTCCGGTATCGTAAGGGAATGAGCATCTGCGAGCCAGGTGGAATATCAACCGAAACTTCCGATAACGCCTGCACCTGGGCAACCGGAGCCGGTCGCCCCCAGGCGGACTGTAAAAATGCCAATTTCCGGCCCCCTGGTAGTTCAATGCAATTTTCATTGATTCTAATTAGAATGGGCATCTTAGCCAAAAAATCCGTACCCAACAGGCAAGGAACCGCCAGGGACCTTGAAATTAACACAACGCCCGAGGCCGAGACACCCCCGATAGAAATGTTAGCGTCCACCTGTCCCACGATGCCCATACTACCCCCGTTCGCAGCGATGCAGGAAGCGTAAGCCGGCCTCACGGCCCCCGGTGGGATGTTCAAAAGATGGAATATCACATCCGAAATAATGGTCGCGGACGCCCCGGAATCCACCAAGATACGTACGTCCACCCCTTGAATCGACCCCGGTACAGTGGACGACCCGGTAGCGGCCGCGACAACCGGCCGAGCCAGCTTACGCCACTGCGTTATCGAACGACAAGGCGCAGATACTGGCCTCCCGTATTTTACAACATCCGCGTCGCATACCAACGGCGATGAGTGAGGTGTCGGGCCTTGCCGGGTGTCTGGTGCGCACCGACTTGCCTGTGCCGGAGGGTCTTTCTTTGGGGCGGCCCCGGAACCCGGGCCCAGCAGTCCCTGGCATAGTGGCCCCGACGGCCGCAGCGGAAGCAGTCGACGTCGGGGCGGCGAGCAGCGGGCACCCCGTCCCGACGCGGCCGCACCGGCGGCGGAGCCCGCGGCCCCGGCCCGCTCCGGGCCGGCCACGGAGCAGAGGCATCCGGCACGTACACGGCCTTTGTAGGGTCCCACCCTACGGCCCCCCCATCGACGACAGGACCACCCGTCCACGCCGTCACCTGTTTCCAGCGGCGGAGATTGAACTGGGCGTCCAAACACTTGGCCGCGGCCCGGGACGTGAGTTTTTCGTGACCGCACGCCGGCATAGGAATGCCAAGATCTCGGGACAACTCCAACATCTTCCCCAAGATGAGTGGTTCCAGCAGGTCAGGCTCCGTCTCCGGGTAAGCGGCCATAGCGAGTTCCAACACGGCGCCCCTGTACGCTACAGGTGACTCCTCAGGTGCGCGTTGCCGCTGCACGAATCGGCGATGGGCGTCATCCGGTGGCTCGTACGCGTCCGCCATTTCATCGAACACCCCTCGCAGAGTTTTCTTCTTTGCAGCTTTTATAGAGCGAAAAAAACGAACGGACTCATCATCAAGAAGAGTCGGGAGCACCTCCAGTGCCTCAGCGTCCGTCCACCTTGCCGTACGTACTGCCGCCAAAAATCTACAGGCGAACGCACTCCAATCGCCCCCGATGGAGAACTCTTTGACGGTTGTAAGGTGACGACTGCGACTCCTTGGCTTGCTTCCGTCCGTTGCTGACTCTTCCGGCGGTAAGTTCAGCAAGGCGTCGCAACGCTGTGTCGCCAAGATGGCGGACGATCCTCGTGGCGGCCCCAAAATGGCGGCTTCCCGCCTTCCGTGGTGCGCCACGCCCAAGATGGCGTCTTCACGCCGCGTGGCCGATGGCGGCGCCATCGAAGACGACCCGGTCTCCTGCCGATCACCACCATCACCTTCCAACGCCGCTCTTGGCGTGACAAGGTCACACAACTCTGTGATGACGGTTTTTAGGGTTGCCAGTTGCTCCGCCATCCGGGTCCATCTTAAATCTCCGTCCCTCAACGCAGATGGGTCGGACGAAGCGGCAACCTCCTCGACACCCGGGCCCTCACGGATCTCTCTCTCCGCCGAAGTGAAGCCGACCTCAGGAGGAAGATCGTCGTCGTCCGAAGATGAAGCCGACGCCGGGGATGGAATATTCTTTTTCCTCAGTTGTTTCGCCATGCCGTTTCACTTCTGACTCCAGTGTAATAAAAGGACTCAGACACTTCTTTCTGTCTTCGTGTCCTTTATTGGGTTCTTGTCTTCTCCCACACGGCACTCTGTTATAACTCTGTATTTGTAGCCCCCGGCTGTTGACTGCTATTATAGCTTCCCTTCTCTCCCCGCAGACTCTCTGCTTCATCTACCGTAACCTCTGTTCTCTCCCTGCAGACTCGCTGCTACCCCTATGCAGACTCCCTGGCTGCTACCGTATGCAGACCCGCTGCTGACTCTGTATGCAGCCCCGCTGCTGACTCTCTGTGCAGCCCCGCTGCTGACTGCAGCCTCCTCGCTGCTTCGGGTCGGTCACCGCTGGCCAACGGTGCCGATCCTCGCTCCCCCGTGTTCGTGGCGATCTCGCCACCCTCCGCTTCGCCCTTCGTGGCCTCTCTCTGTTCCTGGTTCCCCGTCACTCCCTCTCCTCTTCCGGTTCCCCTCCTTCTATAGCCTAACCCCTCACCCCCCCACGTGACCTAACTCCTCCCCTCCTGACGTCACCTCCGGAGGGCCGTTTACGCCCGCATTACACATTGTATGCAATTAGTTCACCCGATCCCAGCAGCCAAGCGAGGCGATAACATTCACCACAAAGTAAAACAAAAAGAAATGGCTCTTGAAAGAACTCTTTGTAGGTGAACATTCTATTTCTTGACCAACCAAACACTCATAATAGAACTCCGCTTGCACAACTAGACAACACCCTACACACCGACCGGGAACAAACACTCTACACGTGAACACCACAGACGAACATCATTAAAAAGGCACCGGCGTACCGGACTACGGCGAGCTGCACCACCTTCTCCGACCGGAGCTTGTCCAGCGCTTGCACCAGGGCCTTGAAGATGTCGAGGTCATTGACGATGCTGGTCAGCTGCGGCTCCAGCAACGCGCTGTTCATCCAGCGCTCCAGAGACAGCACGAGCTCCTTGCTCAGGACGCCTTTGCGCAGGCTCGCCAGGATCGTGCGCAGCTCCACGTCCTTCCAGTTCACCACCGATTGCTCTGCAGGCAGCGCCGGAACCACATGCCCGCGCGACATAAGGCGACGTCACCGAAGGGAGAGCTTCCCCCATCCACAGCCAGATCTCCCACGGTACACACGCGCAAGGTGTGCTGCGTGTTGCATCTTCTTTCATTCTGATTTACGGAACGAACTGCACCTTGCAAGTTTACTGTGAAATCCAACGTCGTGTCCACCTTTATTTTGTTTTACTGCAAAAAAGCACCGTGATCTGGCTTGATAATTTTAGTGAGTGGTTAAGAGACTGTTCACATTTCAGACACGCACAAGACATCACAATGTCTACCGTATGGAAAACTCCTCGATCGTAGACTCAGAGTATACATTTGCCAAGTCCCTTCCATAAAAATGACAATGATGAAAATTAAAAGAAGTAATGCTTATTAAGCCATCTTCTCATATGAGGGGATATGTATCAGTTATAATCATCCAGCAAGAGGGCAGAGAGGCAGGACTAGAAAGAGGGGGGGGGGGGCGGGGGGTTTGAAGCGGTAAACCAAAATATGAAAGACTGCGGAGTTGATGTGGAGATGGCCAAGGACAGAGAACAAGTGGAGAAAGAGGACCAGGAAGCAGCCCCCAGCACGCGGAGTGAAACGTCGGACGTTATGCTCAACAGCGTGCGGCACAACCCACAACGGAGAGTTAAAACGATCCCCATCGAGAGCAAGCAAGCGTACCGCTGGCCGAGTCCTCCGAGACGAGATCGAATTCGGTGAGCATGCCCAGCGCGGTGACCGCCAGCACGGACTGTTGCTGCTGCTGCTGCTGGGATCGTGCCGCACCAGACGCCGAGAGCGCAGCGCCGCCCGCCGCGCCGCCCGCCGCCCCGCCAGCGTTGGCCAGGCACTGGTAGAGGACGCGCTGCAGGCCGGCGCGTGCCAGGTGCTCCGCCAGGCTCTTGTGGTTTGTCATTAGCTTGATGACCACCTGCAGGCCGTCGACCACTGCCGCGCCGCACCTGGGGAAAAGGACGCAGAGCATGAAACGATCCACTCGCCACGGTCATGATGGCCAGGCGGGTAACAATGCATCAAATCATCCTGCAAAATACCCACTGATTCTTACCCTCAAGACGGATGCCTTGAACTATGCTCATAAGACTCGATTATTTATATTAATATTCTTTGGGTCTTTCGGTAAAGCCACGTAGATTGAAAAATAAAAAATAAATAAAATATCACGACGTTTCGATCGCAACACGAGCAATCGCCATCAGGTGAAAAAATATGATACTAAAATTACAGGCAAATGAAATGCAGATATAACAAAACAAGGTAATGTGGATTTGAATGTCTTAAATGCCAACGCACCTCGATGTAACATGTAAGATGGCGGAGGTTACAAAACTATACAACTGCCACCCACAGTAAGAGACAATATACTCTAAAATAAAGACACAAAACATTTATAAACTTTAGAGTTGAATCACAACCCCCGAATAATGACAAACGATCAAGTTAGTGGGGCAGAGGAGTTAATCGTAGAATGCATGAGTTTTTTTCAGGTTAAGTTACACGCTTAGATCAGCATTAAATGCATTTTATTAATCGATTCATGGAAAAATGTGCTCATGGGAAGGAGGCGTAATTAATTTACAGTAATCATTGTTTCACCAGCGGTATCACTGCGATGTTTCCTAATGTAACTAGCTTTACTACCCGGCTTCGCCTGGGAACTTGGATTCACCAGGCCCGGCCGCCTTTGTCTCCCCAGTGACGATGTTCACACACCACACCAGTTACTCGTTTGAGGCTGAGTCGACCTAGGGGAGGCCCAGGTCCGGTTCAAATAATCGTCACCGGTGGTGGGCGTGAGTGGGAATCGAACTCGGGTCGCCGGGTTCGTAGCGTGGCGCGCTAACCACGACACTACAATGCGTTACGCTTCCGTTGTAGGATTTGTGTGAGGCGCGCCGATCCGCTGTAGGGTTTTAGTGAGGCGCGCCGATCCGTTGTAGGGTTTTAGTGAGGCGCGCCGATCCGTTGTAGGGTTTTAGTGAGGCGTGCCAATCCGTTGTAGGGTTTTAGTGAGGCGCGCCGATCCCCCGCGATACAATAATACTGTGTAATCGCTATAATTTTATGATTTACCGAGCCTATAATAGTAATGTCACACATTGTGGTGGCGGGGGAGTGAAGAGGACGTGTAACTTTGATGAATTTACCTCAGAGTCGCGTGGTGGGTGTCGAGGCCTAGCACCGTGCAGAGCCTCCGGCCTCGCCTGATTTTCCCACCTGGTTGAGGCTGGGTACGGGTGCGGTCCCCCCCCCCCCCCCCCCGCGCTACAATAATACTGTCTAATTGCTATAATTTAATAATCGACCGTACCCTATAATAGTAATTGCACACATTGTGGTGGGGGGGGAGTGAAGAGGACGTGAAACTTTGATGAATTTACCTGAGAGTCGCGTGTTAATGCGTGGGCCTATTTTTAACGGTAATAAAAAATGGCGTCCACCCCGCGGTGAAGGCGTCGCTACCCATTGCCAGGGGCAACCGCCGTCCAATGAAAGCGGCGAAGGCGTCGCTACCCGTTGCCAGGGGCAACCGCCGTCCAATGAAAGTGCGTATGGTCCGGCGACACACAGACAGATTCACGATTTTATATATATAGATGAGTACGTCTCCTGGGACAGGACAGCCGACACTGCACTCGGTGGGGGGGGGGGGAGCGCACGCACTCCCCGCTCGACTCGCGCTGCCCACGAGCCCACGGCCCGGCCCCCCGCCTCACCCCTGCGTGCTCAGCATTCGCTCGATGGCGGCCGGGATGGTGACGAGCAGGCCGGGCGATCCGCCCTCCGTAGCGGACGCGATGCTGGACACCACCTCGCGGATCACGCGGCAGTCCGCGTCCGGGACCAGGTGCGCCTTTCCCCTCTTGGCCGGGAGCACGAACTGCTCGGCGCGTATCACCACTCTCAAGCACTGTGAAAGGACGCCGGCGAAACACGCAGCGCTTGCTTTAAATGTTACTAAATGTACTATGCAATCCATAATATAAAGGATTTTTTGGGTTAGATCGCGTGAATATAAATGTGTTGTTAACCCGCCATGACCCGACGCAGCCAATTAGTAAGGTTTGTCACGTAAACAAAAGGTGCCAAGTAGTTACTACTTCAGCACATGGGTGTGTTGGAGAGTAAGCCCACAACATTTACAAACTGAGTACGTAGCTTTCGCTGGTGATTACAACCGGCTTCATCAGGAAATTGCCAGGATTGAGAAATCCTATGTGTTAAATGTACAGTGCAATATAACGCACGTACACATTGCTGTGAAAACCGTCGACGAAAAATCAATAAGAGAATGTCGTCTTCAGGCTAGACATCAACAGGCTCCAGAGAGTAGACAGCACAAATGGTTGGGTGAAGGGCAATGCAGACGATGGGGGTAGGAAAGGGTTACCTCGCACTGAGGAAGGTTACCTGGGGGCTTCGACAGAAATGCGTGGGTGTTGGGGTGGAGGATGCCCTCTGTTACGAGTCATTTAGCAATGAACCGATTAGAACAAACTATTATTCGAATGCCGAAATCCTTCAATGTATTGTTCACACCACCGCTGGCAGAAGGGCCTCTACAAGAGGTATCTCTATAGCAGATCTAGAGGATATATGTTAATCTACTCTTACATACTTTTATCAAATAACTAGTGAAAAGAAACCCAATCCCCTCTAAATAATTATTGAAAAGTCTTACGTGGTAAATAGGCACATACACACCTCTAGGCCAAGCTGCTGTATGACCAAAACATCGGCATGCTGCTGCATGCAACTGAGCAGGGCCTGAATCCCTCCGTCGATGGCGAACAGCATATGGTAGTCCACCTTCTGCAGCAGTGCAATAATGACTCTGAAGACGGAGAGCACCACCACCTTCTCCTTCTGAAACTTGTCCATCTCTTCCACCAGCGCGTTGAGCAGCTTGTCCTTCGTTGACTGCCCCGACTCCAACTTGGTTGGCGGTTTCTTGTTGCTGGAGGTGTCCTCCTCAAGTATGTGTTGCATGGTCTGCAGACCGGCCACGTGCAGAGCCACATCCGTCTGCGACTGCTTCATGATTTCCCACACATCCTGTCCTTTGGCCAAGAAAGTCTTCTTTGTTGAGGACTTGACAGAGTCAAACTGGCACAGTTTTTCCTCGACTCCTTCCACCTTCTCCAGGTCTTCTGTCCTAAGGGTCGCGCCGCCTTGCTTCGCCGACTCGCCCTTACTGTTGCTCTGACAGGCCGACGAGCTGGATGGCGATGTGTCGTCCTTTTTAGATTTCTTGGTGGATGACAAAGCGGGGATATCGACTGGAGAGGACTGCAATAATTTATCGCTGAACGTGCTGTCCGTGTTTTGAAAGGTGGTGTTGTCTTCAAGTAACTGCGAGGAGCTTTTGGGTGCAAATTTTTGGGAGACCTGGGACATCTCCAAGTCCTTCCTGAAAGGCGGGTTGGTGTGTATGAGGTGCTGAAGAAGTTGGCATGCCAGCTCGGACTTGGGGAGGAATGATATCAGAGAAATATCATCCAGTGAAGAGACCTAATTAGGACAGAAGAGAACATGAACTACATGTTAATACTATTATATTATAGCCCTTTATCAAACAATTGCTGGATTAAGGAAACTCCACTCTATGTTGATCATGGGGGTTGATTGACCACACTTGACCAAACAGATCAGTTAGCGAAGGGGGGGGGGGCAACCCCTCACCCCAAGACCCAATTAGACATCACTAGTCATGGCTGGAAATCGAACTCAGATCACCAGTATCACTGTCACTGCTCCCGCACGAGAAATACATTTGAAAATATAATGGCAGACTGAAAATACATGTCTTAACGATTTTAACATGACAGTTGTTTTTAAACATCACCTCCACATACTAATACAATAAAAAAAAGTGAAATATCGAGTGAACCACACACTCTGCAATTCAGCATCCAACAATTTCAGAAATACCCATCTCTGGTGTGTTAAGTGATTGCTGCATGCAGCTGCTGTTACAAAAAAAAGAAAAAACCTTCAGCTGAGCGGTGGCTGAAATGATGTCACACGCTTCTGCTTGGTGAAAGCCCTCCAACTTTTTGAGGAAGAAGAGGAGCTCCCACCAGTGGTTTCGGCTCAGCACTGAGTCATGCTCCCCCGTACCCTCAGACAGATAGGGCAGCATGTAGAAGCTGCCAAGGGGTCTGCTCTGGCTCTCTGCAAATACAATAGGACAGGATCCATAAATAAATATTTTGTAATGGAAACTTGAATTGAAAGCAAATTATGTACCGCAGTATTAACGCACCATTGAACTTGTTATGTAATTGAATGCCAACCTGGCCTAACCATATTCTTTGGGTCTTTCGGAAAAGTCACGTAGATAGGTTCAAAGAAAATAACAAAAAAACTATATAACCTATCTACGTGAATTTACCGAAAGACAGAAAGAATATGAATTCCTGCAGTCACGAAAGCTTTAAGTCAAGATCTGGCCTAACCAGTTGGCTGTAAAGTGTTTGATGAGACAAGCAATTAAACTTTAACAATGTACCATCTCCATGATTCAATGATAATTTTTAACTTTGGGGACACGACACGATGAAAAAATCATTTGGTTTATTTACCACTGCAGTGCGTGTAAAATTTGTAGTGGGTGCGGAGTTTCCACTAACCTATGAACCAATATCACACGCAATAATTTTTACGAGGAATAAAAAAAACGTAATAACGCAAGAATTTCATTTAATCGTTCAAACCTTGTGTCAATAATACTCAGCAATAAAAACAAGTTTGGCAACTGGTAGAAACAGTTTGAGGGCGGTAGGATTTGTTTCCACTGCTAAAATGTCGGGGCGCAGGTGCTTGCGGGAGTTGAGGCCTCCTCTCACCGGGATCCGGCTTCATGGTTCTGATGAACTCGGGCGTTTTTTCAAGGTTCAGCTTGGGCTGTGCCATGGCTGACTGTTCTGACAGGATTTCTATCATGTGCCAGTACACCCAGAAAGTTCTACTCATTGAATCCCAAAGCACCTGATGAACACAAAAATGGAAAAATATGGATCATACTAAGAATAGCATGCTATTTATAATAATGTTAAACAGTTTTGCTGGCCACAAATATGATATCAAAAATATTAAAATGCATACTTGCAAACCAATTAAATACACAATTCCAGACACTGCATCACAATGCCAATGAAATAAGCACAGAATGTAAATGTCATAACAAAGATGTGTGTGTGTGTGGTGGACTGTCTCGACAACACACATTCATACGTGTGTAGTGGTGATACGCGCTGGGATTAGGGATCGTATGCCAGCGCGTAATGATTGGCTGTGTATGTGGTGACGCGCGCTGACGGTGGAGGATCAGGGGTCAGCGGGAGGTCGTGGGTTACGGGGTACTGATTGGCTGTGGGCCGGTGACGCGCTGAGAGGGAGTGACCGGGTGGCAGCGCGGTGTGATTGGTGGAGTAGTGTTAACACGCGCTGGGGAAAACGGATCGTAGAGAGAGTGCGTCGTGATTGGTTCACTAAGGAGCGATGCTCACGTCGACGTCCGCATCAGCTCCGTCTCTCGTGAGCAGGGGCTATAAAAGGGGATGCACACAGGCATAAGGGCAGTATGTAACCAGCGAAGAATGAAGACGGGGATGAAGACATAGGGCCCTGCGGTACCTAGTCCCGCTGTCCTAACGGGACCGGGACTCTGTGTAACCCAGAGGCGAGTGTAGTGTGTGTAGCCATAGGCATAGAGTCTACACGAGCCGAATGTATTGTGTGTAGCCAGAGGCATAGGGTCTACACGAGTCAAGTGTATTGTGTGTAGCCAGAGGCATAGGGTCTACACGAGTCAAGTGTATTGTGTGTAGCCAGAAGCATAGAGTCTACACGAGTTAAGTGGAGTGTATAGTCCAAAGGATAGAGACCACCCGTTGTATTGTGACACGTCAAGATTTAATAAAAGTGTGTTACCCGTCAAGAAGTTCCTGCCGTCAATTCGAATACTTCACGTGAATAAAATATCAGTGATTTAGTCTTATTAAGGCAAGTGCTGTCAGGGAGCATCTAATAATGCTGGCACATCAGACATACAAATGCATGGAATCACAGACACAAATACACGCACGCAGACACACATATACACACACACGCACATTTTGCTCACACATATGCACACACATACGTAGATGACACATAGAAATGTACAGACAGATGCACAAACACATACACGCATAGGCACCTACAAACGTGTGCGCATACACGTAGTACAGACACACACAAAGACTACCCGCACCCCCCCAAACACACAAGCAAAACAACACACGGTTACCTGCACAGGCGGCCTGCCATCGTTGGACTGCTTGAACTCGCCCTGGTCGCCGGCGTTCACCTGCTCGTAGTCCTCCCGCATGCGCACCCGCATGCCAGGCCGCAGCACCTGTTGCACGTACTCCACGTAGCTGCTGCGCGTGCTGAAGCTGTTGAACGTCTTGAACTGGAGGTTCGCGTCCGCCTTGGGCTTCGCCGGCTGGTCGTGAGTGCTCCGGGCGGGTGGTGCCTGGAAGATGGAACGGTGCGGGCCCCGGGGCGGGGTGGTGCCGTCCGAGTGCTCCTCCGACTGCCGCTCCTCGCGGGAGCAGTCCCAGCCGAGGATCTTGACGAGTTCAACGATCAGGTTGGCCATGGCCATGGTGAACTCGAACTTGCGCTGCAGCCACAGCCGCTCCTCGGCACCAGGGCTCGTGTCCTCCTTGTCGGCGTGACCGTCGCAGTTGTTCAGGCGGTCCATGAGCGACGTCACGCACAGGTAGCGCTTCACCAGCGAGAACAGCAGCTTCCCGGGAATCTGTTGCGTGCACGGTCTTTGATTAAACTGAGATCTTTTATTTTCAAATGCAAAATTAAATTTAGTTTTAAAGCTTCATAATGTGTGATACCTCTGTATATGTGTAGCCCTGTTGGTAATCCACTGCTGGATGAGGGTTTGCCCAAGCCAAGCGGGTCATGTATATTATTTGACAATACTTCCACCACTTGGGTCAGTGTGGGTTGGTGAAGGCGGAGTGCGCATAGGCATTGAAGCTTAGAACGGTACAGCAATTGATTAATTACACTGCCTTCTGCTGACAGCATAGTTCTGGAGCAGTCTTAAAATACCTGTTTTATGGATGGTAGTCTCCCACCAAGGCACTATCCATGCTCAACCATGCTTCGCTTCTAAGATCTGATGAGACTGGATACATTCTCGGTTATTTGGCCACTGCGATGGTAGCTCTATAACATGCAAATATATAATGATGATTCGCTTACCACTACAATTTGATGAATTACCACACTTTGGGGTCATGATTCAAATCAAGAATCGTATCTTATTTGTATTGTCTTGTTTGTGATGTATTTGTGTTGTTTCGACTGTTTGATCACAGAAATATTGTACACGGTATTGATTTGTGATCCAGGTCTCTCCCGAAGGAGACATTTAGTCTCATTGGGCCTCTCAAATGATTAAAATTTAATTTATGTAGAATTATATGTGACACGACCCGTCTCAATTGTATATATTTATTCAAGTTTGAACCCATGATCTAAACAATCTGACTTCATCGCCGACAAGGACAGACCCCTAATGATTGCAGATGCTGCCTTCGGTACCTGTGGGAGGTGGATGCCTTCAAACGACATGCCATGCTCTTCCGATGAGGTCGTTTCAGCAAAGAGCTCCAGTAGTGTGAAGCGGTTGTCAAAGTCCATGTGCTGCTCGATGCCGTCCTGCTGGCTGAGGGAGAGCAACACGTACGCCCGGCTTCCTGCCAGGCGGAACGCGCAACAGCAATTCACAATGAGCCAGCTATACCAGTGCTTGTTCTGTAAGTATTCACATCCATGCTGTTCGCTTTTACCAATACACACTGGCCAGTGTGGTGAAGTATGGTGAAATAACCGAACAGACCTATACACCACGAGGAGGCAGTCATCCAGCAGTGGATTTACAAAAGGGCACTGCATGTATCGTCACAGCACTGTTTATAATGATTGATATTACTATGACAGTAATGTTTGTCACGTCACAGAGAGTTAATTCTCAGAGGTGGAATTATGCAAAATTCAGTGCAGAATCGAACTGAATGTGATGGTATATTGCGTGCAGTTATTACTCACTGGGCCAAGACCATAAACTCACTCTTGAGAGCATGGTTTAATCACAGGTGACTGTGTCGATTCAAACTGAGAAAGTCAGTGGTGCCTGGTCACTTCAACCTGAGCCACCCGGCCACCTCTCCATCATAGCACAATGAAGGCTATGAATACACGATTTGTTTTTACATTATAAGTTTAGCAATACAAATGCAACATTTCTCCCCCATAACTGTCAGTGAAAATGTGAAATGAACGAAAATTCAACTGATAAGACTCTCACAACACATCTGCTGCAAGTAGATTTTTATCCCACGTGGCAGACAAATCAGGTTTACAACATTACCATTGCAAACGCGGCATGAAAACTCCACAAACTCTGGCCTGCAAAAAAGTATAAAAATCGCCTAAACCAACTGGATAAGTGTGACGAGCAGTGCGCGAGTTACCTGCATCATGTGACGCGAGTGCGCGCAGCATGCGCCCGGCACTGCGGCGAGTCTGCGTCTCATTGTTGCACAGGAGCTCCATGAGCAAGTCCAGAGCTCCGGCCTCCTTGAAGACTCCAGCCAGTGGCCCAATGGAGGCGTAGGCGCTCAGCACGTGGATGATGTGCGAGATGTTATGCGTAGCTTCGGGGCCCGGCGCCCGCTCCACCTGCCGCCGTGCCCTCTGCACCAGCTTCTGCACATCCCCCTTCATCAATGCAAACTCCTGGTCCTCCAGGCCCGTTTCTCCCAAAGTGTTTCGATGGCCAGTCCCGGTGGTTGCCGCATGCACGTCATTCTCAATTCCGCTTTTAGAGTCGTCGCTGCTGCTGTTCATGTCCGCCTTGACCCAGCCTCCCCAGGTTCCCTCGGGCTTGCGGTTCCCTAGCAAGCCACCGCAGCAGGCACAAACCTCCTCTTCGCTCATCCACATGAGGATGTTCTCGGACTTGCCAGCAGGATCACTGGCAGAGCTGCAAGCCACCGGGCTGCCACCGCCGCCACAGCCCCCGTTCTCCTCGGCCGAAGAAACATGCCAGCGGATCAGGTATTCCACCAGACCATTATACGTGCGACGCTGACGGAGAAGTTCCACCGGGCACGCTTGCACCCCCGTTGCCAACTGCACCATTACAGACCCACCCTGCATGTTGCCCATTCCAAGTCTGACAGCAATAAGGGGTGTCCTGTTCAACAAGCGAGAAAGAGCATGATCAGTACCCACATCGGTTCAGTTTCGCCGCTCAATTAACGTTAACTTGACAGAAATTTGAATGCCGAAGCTTGTACCGTCAGTTTTGTTGCTTACATAAGTCGTAAGGAAGTTACAAATAATCATTTTCTCCGAAAATAAATTTCTAAAAAGTTCTCAAATGTTACATTTTGTACAAGTTATTGCTGTAACAAAGAGGAAAGCCAACTTGTGCAGCTTGGTAATAACGCGTAAAACGTTGCGCTTTGTGTTAAATAGAATAAATTCAGACACTAGACAAGTGTGAAGCCGTCTGGCGTCTGGTTTGAACCACTATTTTTAGAAGCCTCTGCCGAGTTGGGAGCACAAATCGTCCTCGTGTTTGTGACGACGATACTGTGAGCGAAGCCACCCTGGCGGCCTCACATCCCACGGAGTCAATCTGCCTCAAATACCAACAGAGCCAATATGACCCTGACTCGGTGGTTTCGCTTGCCGATCAAGTGGCCACCACATTTCTGCCAAACACACTGATGAAACCTCGCCGGGGGTTGGGAGGATAAAATGCTTCTCCTTTTAAAGTATAACGCCATTTTTGGCATTGACATCATGTCTTGTTGCACCAAACCCTTTAAGTCCCATGCAAAAGCTAACTATAACACCCCATCACATAAATAATTTAAGGCTCTTTGTCAATCCACTGCTGGATTAAGACCCACGCTGCCAACTCGATTACAAACAGGTTACCTCTTGTCGATCCACTGCTAAATTACGGCCTTCTCACGCCATGGCAGTGATATAAGTTGTTTCGCCATACTTCTCCACACTGGTCAAAATGTATTAAAGGTGGGGGGGGGGCTGGACCGGTTCATCTCTCATTCGACACTTATGTTCGCCATGGCTGAGAATCGAACTTTAGGTTGGTGGATTCATAAACCCGTGCCGTAAGTACCGTGCTAATTCTCCACCCAATGATCCCAGAATACAATGACTGCAACACCATTATTTACACTTCATGCGGCAGGCATAGCGTTTCAATGCGCAGTTTAATTTGTACGATTTTAAACTGTCGCAAAAAAGGCACAAGTCTTAACGTAGCAGGGCATGTGTGAAAATCATCAAGGCCGACATCATTAACAGCCGCATCACTGACGCTCTGGTTCCTCGGTTTCATTAGGTTTCGTTTGATCACCACAGTACAGGGACAAGCCACCGCAAGACAAAATGTTAACAGAGTTCCATTGCAAATGACACAATCTAGATTATTCCACAATCGAGCCCACGAACCCTGCCACCATGCCCCAGCGCCAAATCCCGAAACTCCACCCCCCAAAACACACAACTACCGACAACCTAGAACACTAACAATCCCCTCCACACCGACAAAACAACGTACCAGCGCGTAGAATGGATCAGTATAACCTACATTTAAAATCTAAAGCAGAAAAGAGACGGAATGTGGGCGGCCTAAGTGTCCGCGCGCGGCCTACTCGGGGAAATAAAAATAAAGCCTCGGCCTCACCTGGCCAGGCCGCCGGAGCAACCGCGGGGCAGGACCCACGCCGCGGCGCAGAGATTCCGTAGCGCCGCTCTTCGCCGCTGTACCCCCCGCAAGGGTCTAATCCCCTTCCTCGGGGTCCCGACCCCAGCACCCCCCCCCGATCAATCCGCGCCTGGGGAGGGGGGGTCCTTGGACAAGAAGTGAGGAAGGAATGGACAAGAAACGAAAGGGGGGTAAAGCCCGCGGAGTAGAGGGCCAGCAAAGCGTGACAGCGACACCGGGAATCCGGCGCCTCGCCGCGCGCTCACAGCCGCGGGCCGCTAGGGGGAGCGCTCAACGTGAGGGCCCTGGCAGGGGGGGGGGGGGGGCATTCGATAGGGGGGAGGGGGGGCTAACCATGGGATGGGGGGGGGGGTCTAACCGTGGAGAAGGGGGTCTAGCCGTGGGGATGGGGGGTCTAACCATGGGGAGGGGGGTCTAACCATGGGGAGGGGGGTCTAACCATGGGGAGGGGGGGTCTAACCATGGGGGGGGGTCTAACCATGGGAGGGGGGTCTAACCATGGGGAGGGGGGTCTAACCATGGGGAGGGGGGGTCTAGCCATGGGGAGGGGGGGCTAACCATGGGGAGGGGGGGTCTAACCATGGGGAGGGGGGGTCTAACCATGGGGAGGGGGGTCTAACCATGGGGAGGGGGGGGTCTAGCCATGGGGAGGGGGGCTAACCATGGGGAGGGGGGGTCTAACCATGGGGAGGGGGGGTCTAACCATGGGGAGGGGGTCTAACCATGGGGAGGGGGGTCTAACCATGGGGAGGGGGGGTCTAACCATGGGGAGGGGGGGCTAACCATGGGATGGGGGGGGGGTCTAGCCATGGGGAGGGGGGGGGCAGCCATGGGATGGGGGGGGTCTAACCATGGGGAGGGGGGGTCTAACCGTGGGGAGGGGGGGTCTAACCATGGAGAAGGGGGTCTAACCATGGGGAGGGGCCTAACCATGGGGAGGGGAGGGGTCTAACCATGGAGAAGGGGGTCTAACCATGGGGAGGGGCCTAACCATGGGGAGGGGGGGTCTAACCGTGGAGAAGGGGGTCTAACCATGGGGAGGGGCCTAACCATGGGGAGGGGAGGGGTCTAACCGTGGAGAAGGGGGTCTAACCATGGGGAGGGGACTAACCGTGGGGAGGGGACTAACCGCGGGGAGGGGACTAACCATGGGGAGGGGGGGTCTAACCGTGGGGAGGGGCCTAACCGTGGGGAGGGGAGGGGTCTAACCATGGGGAGGGGGGTCTAACCATGGGGAGGGGTCTAACCATGCGGAGGGGGGGTCTAACCATGGGGAGGGGACTAACCATGGAGAAGGGGGTCTAACCATGGGGAGGGGTCTAACCATGCGGAGGGGGGGTCTAACCATGGGGAGGGGGGGTCTAACCATGGGGAGGGGGGTCTAACCATGGGGAGGGGGGTCTAACCATGGGGAGGGGCCTAACCATGGGATGGGGGGGGTCTAACCATGGGGAGGGGGGGTCTAACCATGGGATGGGGGGGGGGTCTAACCATGGGGAGGGGGGGGTCTAACCATGGGGAGGGGGGGGGTCTAACCATAGGGAGGGGGATTCTAACCATGGGGAGGGGGGGTCTAACCATGGGGAGGGTGGGTCTAACCATGGGGAGGGGGGTCTAACCATGGGGAGGGGACTAACCATGGGGAGGGGGGGTCTAACCATGGGGAGGGGGGGTCTAACCATGGGGAGGGGGAGGGGTCTAACCATGGGGAGGGGGAGGGGTCTAACCATGGGGAGGGGGGTCTAACCATGGGGAGGGGACTAACCATGGGGAGGGGGGGTCTAACCATGGGGAGGGGGGGTCTAACCATGGGGAGGGGGGGTCTAACCATGGGCAGGGGAGGGGTCTAACCATGGGGAGGCGGGGGTCTAACCATGGGGAGGGGGGGGTCTAACCATGAGGGGGGTGGTCTCGAGGGACGCCACCAAACTTCCTCCAAAACAAGGGTATGGGCACCGCTTTAAAATCGGGTCCATTAGAGGGGGTTGTGGGTTGAGGAACCTCCGTCAAGGCGGGCCAAAGACACCTGAACTCTTTGCTTTATTTGCAGTGAAAAAGTATTGTTGAGCTCTGTTATCACTACAGTACTGTACTCGACACGAGCACAGATTGGGCCGGTGTTGTAATACTGTTTGCTGGTCAAAGCTGGGAGTGAAGCACCCGGTTACTTGTTTGTTGTTCAATTTTAATTGATATAATTCAACTTCATTGTCAGACATAGGTCCCGCGGCCCGCGCGGCCTGCTAACAGTAACTTCCATACGGTCCGCGAACGATATTCACATGTCAATGCAAACATCGTAGCCACACGAATCGGACACCCGGGGCGAATGTTTGAGACCGGGCAACACAGCACGATGTTTATAATTCGCGTGCGCTCGGTCGCTTCAATCGCTGCGAGGGCATTCTTGCAGTGTTTGAGCGGGTGACTTGCCAAATCAAAAGATTGGTGAGTTCACATTTTGGGGTCGACTCAGCCATTCCATCCATCCGGGATCCATAACAGTACGTAACCACGTTGTGGGGAAGTAAACAGCGATTGCCCGATGGTTAGATGAATATCTGCCACGGTAATGTGGAATTTCCACGACTCACTCGGGACTGTAAACAGGAAATGAACACCACTCCATGCTCAACTGAGCAGGACAACCACTTTTAACTTTCGTTTGAATGATTAAGGCAGAATCAACAAGACTCACTAAACAAACGAGACGAAAGACAATCACTGTATTGTATCAAGCCTCGGCCTCAAATGGTGACAATTCATCGAATTGCAGCGAGGGAGAATTTTTATAAGCCTGCTAGGTATAGGCACATTCTGACAGCAGTGGCTTAGCTTTCCGAGTGTGCAGTCATTGTGCAAATGCACTGGGACGTATTGGTCAGCAAAGCCCAGACGTCAGGCTATTATGAGGAGTGGGGACACTTTTGAGGGAGTGATCCCAATTGAATTCCTCTCTCCAGGACCGATGCCGAGACCACACGCCACACCAGTGTGACACATCCAAAGTAAATGGTGGCAGAAGGCGTAGTTCTCAATGAGTTTTGTTTAGCGGCCCGAACAATGCGAGTCACCTCGTCTGTGATAACCAGGCAGGGGGCAAACACGGGGCGCAAGGCAGGGCGTCTCTTTCTCTGGTTTCCGCAAACGGCCCCATAGAAATGTCAGGAAATTTAGCTGCTTTCGGAAGAAAAGTGCCACAGCGATGAGGTCACCGATCAAAACAAGAACGCTGCACTTTCAATAATAATAATATAGGACACGTGCTTCGTGTTGTTGATTTTAGACTAAATTCGTTTCGCACAATATTAGTCACAGTTCACGTTGACGATATTGTTGACATTTACTGATGCCCGTGTTTTATCCAAAAATCTGACAATGCAATTCAAAGTCTGATTCGCTCCGAACTCCCTAAAGATTCTGTGGGCCAGGGATTACGGTATTGTTAAACGTTTCCAGCGGGTAAACCCGTAGGGCCTGGAGAATAATCCATGCGATCATAGGGACAACATGCAAACACCAAATGTACAGGCGTCAGGGTCGGGATCGAACCCACGACCTGCTGTATAACAGGCGAGGTAGTTATCATATCGGCACCGTGGCGCCCTAAGACACGCCTTCCCTCTGGTAAATAATTTCCCCATCTGCTATCAGAATGAAATGTGTCCCGTCATGCAATCTATATATATAAAATCGTGAATCTGTCTGTCTGTCTGTGTGTCTGTGTGTCGCCGGACCATATGCACTTTCATTGGACGGCGGTTGCCCCTGGCAACGGGTAGCGACGCCTTCGCCGCTTTCATTGGACGGCGGTTGCCCCTGGCAACGGGTAGCAACGCCTTCGCCGCGGGGTGGACGCCATTTTTTATTCCTGTTAAAAATAGGCGCACGCATTAACACGCGACTCTCAGGTAAATTCATCAAAGTTTCACGTCCTCTTCACTCCCCCCCCACCACAATGTGTGCAATTACTATTATAGGGTCGGTCGATTATTAAATTATAGCGATTAGACAGTATTATTGTAGCGCGGGGGGGGGGGGGACCGCACCCGTACCAAGCCTCAACCAGGTGGGAAAATCAGGCGAGGCCGGAGGCTCTGCACGGTGCTAGGCCTCGACACCCACCACGCGACTCTGAGGTAAATTCATTCAAGTTACACGTCCTCTTCACTCCCCCGCCACCACAATGTGTGACATTACTATTATAGGCTCGGTAAATCATAAAATTATAGCGATTACACAGTATTATTGTATCGCGGGGGATCGGCGCGCCTCACTAAAACCCTACAACGGATCGGCGCGCCTCACTAAAACCCTACAACGGATCGGCGCGCATCACTAAAACCCTACAACGGATCGGCGCGCCTCACTAAAACCCTACAACAGATCGGCACGCCTCACACAAACCCTACAACGGATCGGCGCGCCTCACTAAAACCCTACAGCGGATCGGCGCGCCTCACACAAATCCTACAACGGAAGCGTAACGCATTGTAGTGTCGTGGTTAGCGCGCCACGCTACGAACCCGGCGACCCGAGTTCGATTCCCACTCACGGCCACCACCGGTGACGATTATTTGAACCGGACCTGGGCCTCCCCTAGGTCGACTCAGCCTCAAACGAGTAACTGGTGTGGTGTGTGAACATCGTCACTGGGGAGACAAAGGCGGCCGGGCCTGGTGAATCCAAGTTCCCGGGCGAAGCCGGGTAGTAAAGCTAGTACACTGTAAAATCGAAAACGTAAAATTGAACAAAAGTTCAAATGATCACACATCGCGGGAAGAGAACACATTCCAGTATTTCCCACAAGACCCAAACATAGCCTAACCAATAACCACACCAGCCAAACTGACCCGAACTATAGCATTAAACGTACCATACGAAAACATCAGAGTCTGGTCCTAACCATAACTAAACTAGCCAATGGGACAATCGCAGGAAGCGTAAGGCATGGGGCAATATTGTTTAGCATACCAACCGTAAGAGCTTAGTGCAAACCCTAACCACACCAGCCCGATTCGTAATCCTAACTAAACTAGCCAATCAGCCAGCACCTAACGTAGTTTTAACATCAACAACATCAACATGATCCCTGGTTGTATCCTTAAGCACACTATCCAATCAAGCCCTCGTCTTGACCCAACTAAACTAGCCAATCAGCCAGAAGCTAACAAGCAGATGCTAGACTCAATCCTAAGCACACTGGCCAACAAACTCTACC